CTCGCAAAACGCCTTTGTCGACGCCGCAAAGATTGGCATCTTTGGCTGGTCGTACGGCGGATACCTCTCTGCCAAGGTTCTCGAAGCCAACTCGGGCGTCTTCTCATCCGGCCTTATCGTCGCGCCCGTCAGCGACTGGCGCTTCTACGACTCGCTGTACACGGAGCGCTACATGAAGACGCTCGACGCTAATGAGGAGGGGTACAACGAGACGGCCGTCCGCAATCCCGAGGGGTTCAAGAATCTGGCGGGCGAGTTTACCATCCTCCACGGCACGGGCGACGATAACGTGCACTACCAGAACGCTGCAGCGCTCATTGATCTGCTCGTCGGTGCCGGGGTGCCCGTGTCCAAGATGAAATGGCTGAGCTTCACGGATAGCGACCACAGTATCGCGTACAACGGTGCCAATATTTGGTTGTACAAGTATCTGACGGAGGCGCTGTTCAGGGAGAAGAGACGGTCTGGAGACCCGCTGGTTCACCAGTGGAGTAAGAAGAGCTTGCCCGAGACATTTGACTTTGAGAGATCTTAGGGGCGTGGTTTCGTCTTCGATGTAGATATTGTAGTATCCTTTTTGAGAAGAATTAATGTGTCATACCTGTCCAAATTAGTCTGTACCGTGTGCAAACGCAATACTGTTCCCTCTGGCTCATTAAACGCCGGCCAGTGATTGAAGGTGCAGGCGGTTATTATGTTGTCAAATAAAAACAGGATACCAACTAGAGGGACGAGAGTAAAAAGTCCTGGAGTTCTGATCTAATCTGATCTCATGTACGACAAGAGCAGTACAACATGCTCTCGGTGTGGTCTGTCGTAGATTTAGAATGTATTCGCACCACTTTGTAAACTACTTCACTTACGTGATGGTGAGTGTTGCGTTTTACGGAATTGAAAGCGCAAAGTCAGAGAGTTGAGTAATCTGAAAATACGAAAGAAACCACTACTCGGAGCTTGCGCTTGCTTTCAAAGTTACTCGTCTTGCTCTGGCAAACATGAGTTACCGAATCGCTTCCTCTCTGAGCTCTCGGAAAGCAACAATGTCTTTGCAAATCGAGCCTTAATCTTGTCATAGCCCTCGACCCATGGCGACAGATATAGGCCATTGTTGTATTTAAATAAGTCACGATTGTAAGTAGCATGGGTCTGAACGAACTTGGCATCGAAAAAGAAGGAGGCTTGCTGTGATTGTAGACATTCCAGAGCTCCGCAAGGCGAGTGAAGGCAACGGCCCCACCTTTCCACCCTCACCTGCCACGCTCGGTGAGGCCAAATTCCGGCTCGGAAAAACACCAGCTTCCAGCTACCTGTCTCCCCCAGAGCCCGCCTTCACTTTTCATCATCCACCACCCAAACCGCCCTGGCCCGCGATCGCGACAAGCTACTCCCCTCCACCCATCTCGACCTAAATCCCCACGACAGCTCGCCCTCGACTCTCCCAAACAACCACAATCATGACGTCCACAATTGGCATTCCCATCAAGCTCCTCAACGAGGCACAGGTACCTACAACCTCGCCCCCTAATAAAGACTACGCCAGAAAGCTAACCATTCGCGCGTGCAGGGCCACATCGTCACCCTCGAAATCACATCAGGTCAAACCTACCGCGGCAAGCTCCTCGAAGGTAACCCCTCCCTCCACCCTGCCATCCCCTAACTCAGTCACAGACAGCAGCCCGCTAACATCTCACCTCTCCCCAACAGCCGAAGACAACATGAACGTCCAGCTCAAAGACATCACCGTCACCGCCCGCGACGGCCGCGTCTCCCACCTCGACCAGGTCTACATCCGCGGCTCCCACGTCCGCTTCTTCATCGTCCCGGACATGCTGCGCAACGCGCCCATGTTCCGCTCCCGCAACGTCCGTGGCCGCGGTGTCGGTATGGCGCGTGGTCGCGCGACTGTGAGCAGGGCGAGGGCCAGCGGGCGCGGAGGACGCTAGGATCGGAACCCGCATTCGCAGGATGCCTCTTCGACTCGGCCTTGAAGAAATATAGACCGCCCGCGATATGGACTTTTGCGCGTGGGAGAGAGAGTGGAAGAGAGCAGGAAGACACCAAAGGGGAAGACTTTCGAGACGAGACACAGCGCGCATTTTTCCTTTCATGACGGACGCTACTCTTCCGTCTTTTGAAGAGCCGGAGGAAAGGTCGGGTGAGGGGACTTTGGATTCTCACTCCAGGGGAACCCGGAGGCTGTTCAGCATCGTCCTTCGGGGACAGAAAAGTTCCAGGCGTTTTAAAGGGGTTTTGAAGGTTTCACGGGGGAAAGTCCCCGAGTATTGCAAAGGCGGATACCAGCCGAGGGAGGGCAAGGGAAACATATGAAACAGTGCGAGGCACGATACTTGAGGCCTGATTTCTCCCCGAGGAGAACAATATCCGGGCAGTCTGAGGATGTCACTGGTCGGCCAGCATGGGGGAAATGACGGTCGCTAGGGTAGGCCTCACTCTTTCTCCAATCTTGAAGAGCCAGCCGTCATCCAACCCTCAGCTGACACAGAAAGCTAGGTGCCACAGCCAAAGATACCGCAGCAATAGAATGCAAACGCCCCTCTCGGCGCCCAATTTCTCGTGTCTTTTTGTCTGGTATCGGAACTTCGTGCGTGCATGTGCATGTCTATCATGGACATTGTGTTTATACATTATACAGATGATGATACAAACCTCGTGACATGCGAACCCCTCCCTCTTGCTCATATCACTTCTACTTCAACCGCTTAAGCGCATCCTCGGCCTTCTCAACAAGCTCCTTGGCCCTGCGAAGCTCCTCCGCGCCCTCAACAGCAGCCCCTTCCCTTGACCCATCAAGCGTATCCGCGACGCTCTGCTCGACACCCCGTACCGCCTTGCGCCCTTCCTCCCGCACCTCGCCCTCCCAGTACGTCCGCGCCGTCTCCCACTTAGTCTGCAACCTGCGCAGGCTCCACATCACGCCCAGCGCCGCGACGGCGCCGGCCTCGTAGATGGAGGAAGCGTACTGCGATACGTAAAGCAGACTCGCAAGCGCCGTCGTCAGGGCCGAGGTGCTCGAGGCCTGGAGGACGAGCTTCTGCGCGAGGGCCTGTAGTGCGGGAACGGTTTCCTCGTGGAGGTAGCGGCGCGTGAAGGCGATGTGCGTCGGCCATTTGGGCTTCTGCGTCACGGCCTTGGCGACGGTGCTGCTCTCGGGCAGGGATTTCTGAAGTTCGGATGTCGGCTGCGCGTACACCGGTGGTTCAGTGGTGGTCGAAGCGACGCCGGACTCGGCGATGCGGCCGGCTAGGTACACCAGCTCCCTCTCTGCGCCGGGGAGGAAGCGCTGGCTGAGCATGTCGGTCGTGAGGACGCCCACGTCGTCGACTCGCCAGAAGAGCTTCCACCAGCCCAGCTTGCGCCATCTCGTGCCCGCGAACGCGAGGTCGAGCTGCTGCTGGAGCTCCTCGTGCGCGAACTGGGACCACTGCGCCAGTCTCTCGTTCATGACGGTTAGCCCGGATGACGCGGCCTCCGTGGACAGGCGTCCTGAAAGCAAGCGCGATTCCTCGGCTTCAATCTCTGCGAGGGCGTTGCGGAGTAGTGAGGCGACCAGGAGACGAACTACTGGCTTGGTAGCCTGGCCCTCGTCCGTCTGCACGCCTGTCTTGAGCCATTGAATAAGGACAGGCACATTACTCTTGTACCATGCCCTCTCATACTCCATAGCATTGGCAATATTCTGGCGAATAAGATCAAGTCCCTTGCTGCCCACCGACACATCAATCGGCTGGAACGTGACGCCCGCCTCTTTCTCCACAGAATACTCTGGCAGGTCGACAGCACCAAAGACGGTATCACGATACTCGGCCAACGGCAGAGCCGCAACCGAAGCAGCGCCCATAACGCCCCCAGAAACAACCAAAGCCTTGTGCACTGGCGTCGTAATAGGCGTGTACCGCCCCGTGTTGGACGGGATATCCACCGTCGGCACAAGAACAGCCTCCTCAACATCCTGCACCGCCTTCTCGCCCGGTCCCGGGACAGAACTAAAGGGGTTCACCTCCATAAGCAAAAGCTCAATCCCGTGTCCATTCAACGCAGGCGACGACACATCGAGCTCGTGCAGCAGATTCGTCTTTGATATCGTCACGCGCGGCGCGGCCTCCGCGGCGTTATGCTCCTGCCCGATGCGCACCACGAGCGGGTGCGACGGGTCATGCTGCGCTAATTCCCTTTCCCACCCCGCCTCGTCGCCCAGGGGATCCGCGAGAAGTAATCGGAGAAGGTCCTTTGCCGCCTTGCCCTGCTCCGCGCTGCCGTTGGCGAGGGAGAGAATTGCGATGCGGATCGACTCCTGGCCTGGATCCTGGCGCAGACCCTGAAGCGCGAGCTGTAGGCGGGAAAGGTTCACATGGTTGACGGCATGTTTTTGGAGCTCTAGTAGGGTGTCGATGAGTTCTTGCCTCGGGTTCTCGGGTGCGATGGTCTCTTGTGGCGGTAGTGATGCTGTCGACTCGGTGGACTGGAAGCGGCGTTGTCTCAATGCCTTTCTTGCCTGATTGCGGCTGTTGGTGGTGGCATTGGTTCTCGTCGTAGGTCGCGAGGGTGCGGAAAGCGAGCAGAACAGGCATACTGCGCGCGAAGGGATCGCGGTATTCTGCTTTGCGGCCAGGGGAGAGGCGGCGCGGCCTGCGATTGGCCTCAATGGGATTCGTGGAGGCATCGTAGAGGGGCTGCAAGAGAGGAGGGGAGTGTGTGTCCCGTCTCTTGCTTTCCTGGGTACGACAGAACGAAAGGAGTGAACCGTCGAGAATTGGATTCGTGGTTGAATGATGTCGGCTGGGCAGACGGGTGGACAGAGCTCCCAGAAAATGCTCGGTGAACCCGACCCAAGCTCCGATCCATGTACAGCCGTCGGGCTAAACTTCGGAGAACCACCGGAGCAGGGAAGTTTCCCCCCCACCCCCGCCAATCTGCCACCACTATGACCACCACTAACCGACCCGGAGGTCCCAACTGTTCACTTCCGTGCTGTGTAAGTCACCGGAGATATCAACCCGACAACCATCTTGATCCCTGGCCTTCCCTCGATCATTGCCTACAAACCTCGCATCTCTCCCCATCCTTCTTCAGCTCTCCGCGACTCTAAACCTCTCGATCCGAGTCAACCCGAGACACGCAACACCGCGCCAGCCATGGCCCAATCCACCGCCCACCGCCGGCTCCTCCAAGAGTACCGCGCCCTGACAAACAACCCCCCAGAAGGCATCACCGCCGGCCCCGTATCCGAAGATGACCTCCTCCACTGGGAGGCCCTGATCCAAGGCCCCGAGGGAACACCCTTCGAAGGCGGCGTCTTCCCCGCCGAGCTCAAGTTCCCCAAGGACTACCCTCTCGCCCCACCGACCATGAAGTTCCTCGTCGACATGTGGCATCCGAATAGTACAGTCTCCTATTGCCCACACCTGATATGGACCTAATAGAAAAGTGAAAGGCATTGCTAACCACAAACCCAGTCTACCCAAGCGGCCTAGTCTGCATCTCCATCCTCCACCCCCCAGGCGACGACCCAAACCACTACGAACACGCCTCGGAGCGCTGGTCCCCGATCCAGTCGGTCGAAAAGATCCTCATCTCCGTCATGAGCATGCTCGCCGAGCCAAACGACGAGAGCCCCGCCAACGTCGAGGCTGCAAAGATGTGGCGCGAGCGGAGGACGGAGTACGAGCAAAAGGTTCGCGACGGCGTCCGGCGGTCGCTGGGCCTGTGATGTGGCAGGTCTTCCTTCTGGCGATAACACATAAATACCTTATCCATAGAGTACCACTCGGCGGACTACTTCAGTAGAGAGAGATTTGAGGGATCAACGCAGGCAGACATAAGAGGGGTGCGGTCGACACTACCAGCATAGCACGGCGTTTGGGGAATCAATCAAACATGGCTTCGAATATTCACTTCCTTCGTCAATGCTTGCTTGCCCGCTTGCGTTCGGGATAAATGCCCCCGGCTTTCCTGCCGTGCTTGCAGTACTAAATCCGCTCCTTCACACGTCTAAGCCCTCTCTTCCATGCAGCCCCTAAAGTATTTACAATCCGTTCTCGGACTTGAACTTATCCCAACTCTCATTCAACGTCGCAAAGACCGTAGCAGCGATAAGTCTCACCTCCGTGCTAGCGTCTTGTGGAAGCTACACATTGTTAGCGCAGGCCCATAGTCACCAAGTGAATCAAAAATAACGTACCTTATCGGGATGACACTTAGCAATGGCCTTCATGTAGTGAATTTTCACCTTGTTGGCCATGACAAGCTCGTGCAACCCAACCTTCTTCCATCCGCTGTTTTCCCAGAGAACCGAGTCCAAGCTACCGATGAGAGCACGTAGGTTATCTCTCTTGCCATCTCTCCATGCCGCAATCTTGGCGTCAACCTTCTCCGACAGCGCAAACTTCTCATCGTCTTCTTGCGCCGCTGCTTGATTCTGCTTGCGCAAGCGCTCCACGGCTTCCATGTTCTTAGCAGAAGCTGCTACAGGGCGTGGCCGAGCAGGAGCAGTAGCGGCTGGTCTAGGCTTGGGCTTGGGCTTGGGAGCCAGGGCTGACTGGCATCTTTGTCGGCCAGAGATAGCGGTGGGACCGCCGACGCCGTTCTTCACGCAGGTTGACCAGACGGCGTGGGCATCGCCCCATCGCTCCATCTGTTCGAGGGCCTCGGCCTTGCGGCTCAATGCCTTGCCGTACAGATCCCGCATATCGCGATTCTCCTGGGTGCCGGTGTCGCCCACAACAGACACCTGCTCGCCTTGACCTCCACCAGGACCAATGATCTTGAGTGCAGCATCAGCGTCTTCAACAGCACGCTTGGGTTCGCCGTTCTTCAACGATGTCAACGCGCGATTTGTGAGGATAACAATCGCAAGAGGATGCGAAGATGGCACAGCAGATAGTGATGACGTATAAGATGAATGAGCTGCGCCGTAATCTCCTCTCTTGAAGTGAGCAGTTCCATCGAGACGGTGTTTTGTTGACTGTTGTACCGCCGCAGGTGTAATGGGTGGGATTTGACGAGCGGGACGAGGGGCTGGCTTGGGAGATGGAGGTCTTGCAGGCCGCGAGGCTTGAGAGGGCTGGACGGGTCGTGATGGCTGCGATGATTGAGCCGGGCGATGAGGGAGTGACTGCGAGGGCTTCGGAGCTTGTGAACCGAAAAGCAGGTCCGGGTCCTCCTGCTGGGACGCAGGCGCTTCCGGCTGAGGTGTCGCCTTCTTCCTCCTAGCAGGGCTGACATACGAAGCCGCGCTGTCGTCCGCCATTGCCAGCTTGCTTGCGCGACTTCTTGAATCCGGTATTGCTGGGCCGCTCTGCTGCTGCCATCTAGGTACCGGAGTGCCTCTGCCGCTTGACGGGGCCGATACCGCAGGAGACTGGTCTCTTGGGGATGCTGTCCGGCGAGGGGCCTCTGGTCTCGAAGACTGCGACGATTGCCCGGCTTTTCTTTGCGGTCGACCGCCAGACTCCAGCATCATAGCCTCGTCTGTAGCCTCGGCCACCCGCCGCTCAGGCTGAGCACGATCACCTTGTGCTGAGCGCATCCATTTCGGCTGGCTAGGGTCGCCCTCGGATTGGTTAAAGTCTGCTACTGCAGCCGCCACCTGCTTCTTGCTAGTCTTCCAGAGAGAGTTGGCTGTTTTGAAAAGGCTATTTCCCATAGCCGCCGCAGTCTTTGAGAAGTCAGCTTCACCGGCAGGGGATCTGGTATCAGCCCGTCTTTGACTATCCTGTCTGCCACCATCATCTCGTCCTCTCCTTGAAGCAGCGGCTGGATCCTTTCCTTGAGCCTTCGCCTTGGCTTGTCGGTGAGCATCGTCCAAAAGCCAGTTGGCCGCTGCTTGCACATTCAACCCCGCACCACTCTCTGTCAGACCCCTTCGAGCGTTTTCAGGGGTGAAGCCGTAATCGACGAGCTGCGCGACAGCCTTGTCAAATTCGGCCATCTCGCCCCTGGGAGCTGGCTGCCGTTCATCATCTGAGCTGGAGTCAGATGCCTCAATGGGTTTTCCGGGCTCAGGACCCTTGGGCTGTGGGGTGGGTTGCTTGCGCCGAACTTCTTCGACCGGACGGGCTAGGTCTCCGAGGAAGTCGTCATCATCATCGTTCGTCGGAGGGGGTGCTGGAGATGCGGCCTTGGGCTTCAGCTGGTTCAGACCAAACGGATCGTCGTCGTCCCCAAAGCCGCCATTGGCAGGGGCAGGCGCCTGATTCCATGCGGTTGGGTTGCTGAGGTCCAAGCCAGGGGCGATCGCAGGCGAGAGGCTCTTCTGAGGAGGCGGAGGGTAGTGACTAGCATTGTCGACCTTGGTCTCAGAGTTGAAGGCCGCGAAGAGGTCGTCATCATCACTGGCCTTCTTGCCCGTAGAAGAGCCAGGGGACAGTATGCCAGGGGACGTCGTCCTCGACACTGAGCCCGATCCCAGCGTATCCAAGAAACCACCGCCAAATTGCGCCTGCGCTTGTTTCTTCCTCTCCTCCTCCTTCTTCCTCTTCTCAGCCTCGAGTCGCTGCTGCTGTTCCAGCAAGGTGAGTTTCGATGTCGGTTTCGCAGCCCCGGCACCACCAAAGCTCATCAAGTTGCTGAAACTATCGGCTGGCGGCTTCGCGGGTGGAGGTTTCGCAGCCACGGCTCCTGATCCTTGGGCGGACAGAGGCGTGTTACGGCCAGAGGGAAAGGGGGATGGCGTTGAGTTGGCCGGTCGCATGGAGCCGAAGTAGTTGGCGCCCGAGGGGTTCATCGGCGGCGGCTTGTTGTTCGTCGTGTTGGTCGACGACGACCAATTCAATCCCGAGAGATCATCCATCTTTAAAACTTGGTGAAAATCAAGGTGTAAACTTCATTTCATGAGCTTCGTGAGGTCGTGAGGGCATCGAAGGTGGCTCAATGCATCGTTTTCGGCTGCTTGTTGACTTTCGAATGCCACTTGTTCCTGCATCGGGCTTCGTTGATTGCGTGCGGTGTCGTGCACGCAAGGTGGCATGTGGGACAAGTGTGGCTGAAGCTGAGGTCGATTTGGCTAGTGACTGCCGACTGCGCCACATGGGGCGGAGTGAGGAGACACATCAGCGTTAAGAGTTAGGTGCCGTTCAGAGTGCACGACCCAGCAGATTAGATTTCACGGGTGGCGCCGAAAGCGAAGATAGGGGTAAACAAATGTGCCGCGTTTGGGATGATCGCTGCTGTCACTTTGAGATTGTGGCATAAACCCAATTGCTACTTACTAAGTTACTGCTCACTCCGTCCGCCCATTTCGATGAGCTCCTTGGCCTTGGCCAAAGTCACAAGCTTCGGCTGCATGAAATGAACTCCACACAGCTTCGGAACCCAAGCCACATCGAACGCTGCGCCGAATTCCAGTTGCTGGCGAATTCCAGCAAGCCATTGTTTGCACATTCCTGCGAGTCGCATCTCGAACTCCCCGGGATCAATATGCCTTGGGCGAAGTTCAGCTGGCAAGTGATGGTGGCCGTGTTTCCGACACTCTTCATTCCCGGCGCTGTCTTCTGTGGTTCATATCCCCAGCTTCCAAATGACGTTCTAGCAAGTCTACCACTGGCACTAGGTCTACGGCTTCATCAACTACCGCGATATTTGCTGAGAAACGGAGCCCCGGGTCGGATTAACCCCATTGACAAGTACGCCATTACCTCTGGGATGAATAGCGAGGGTCATGGTCAAGGGATAGGAGCGCATCTCAATCACTTCGAAACCCCCGGCTGACGGGTCTACTACCGCGGCTGTTCGGCCGATAGTCCCGCCCAATATCTGGGTCTTGAGTAGGACTCGGGTCCCTGAGATTTGTGCCCCTGATTGTTCGGATGGAAATCACTGTCTTACGTGTCGTCGATTTGCTGATGGCTCCATCCCATTGTCTCTTGATTCCTGAGGAGCTGGGAGCACAGGAAGGGAGCATTCCTTCACTGGAACGAGCCATGAGAAACTTTGCGGGGTATGTCTTTTTCTAGGGTCATGAAAGGGCAGACGTGACTTGTTGGACGATCTAATGGTCGGTCCGAAAAGCGAATAGAGGCAAACGACAGGAACAAAGATATGGATAGTGTGGCATACGGAGTGAGGTCCGCACTAGAGGACCACAGTTCATGTCTCCAAGCTTATGCGTTTCCGAATTGCAAGCATCAATGAGTTGCTTGCCTACGTAGTATGGTTGTTCTCTGGTCAATCCGCGGATGCAACTACTGTTTCCTCGCTTGGAGAAACAATGAGAGTAAGCTTAAGAATTGACTCCTGGAGACAGGCAGACAAATCTCTCGCGTTTGAAGGGCAGCGCAAACGTCGGAAGTTTCTGGGAGTGTGGTGCAACGCACCGCAAATCATTGGGGACGACAAGCCTTGGCTGTTGGTGCCGTACTCTACAAGTTCAGGTGGTTGGCGCACCGCCTCAATCGGTCAAGGTGCTGAAACTCGCTGCATGTGTCGCGGGCTGGGATCTTCCCTGGAAGTGGTGATCAGGGGAAGAAGATCTCGAGAAGGCTGAGCTGAGCTGAGCTGGTGGTGTACGCAGTATTCGTACGGTGTGCTAGCTAGTGCATCCGTACGGCGGTGGCGACGGTAAAACCGTCGTGGATCAGAGGAGCTTCTTCCAACATCATTGCCACATGCCAGTGTGCTTCCTCAGTTCGGACTACAGATATGTGGCTCTTCCACAATGTCGTCACCCAGAAATTCATAATACGAGGATGAAGAGCTGGAGATGCCGATGAGCGCTGATTACGGGCGACTTTATTTTGGTTCGGAGCTGAGTCGCGAGGCGCTGCTCGGTTTGCTGAGCGGGCCGTGTCCATGCCAATCTGAAGATCTGGCAAACGGACCCTTGCTTTGGGTTATGACGATAATCTCAAACTTGACTCGTAATTGATCAGCGAGAATAGCATATAATTTGCGATGAAAGGCCCGTCGGGAGCTGAACAGGTCGCACATGGCGAGACATGCTGTTCGTATTAGCAAGTGCGCCGCTCATCAGACGAGGAATAACAGTGTTGTTCGGGCACTATTTCTTCTTGGTGATAGGGACAAAGGCCGCCTGGCGATCACCCGAAGACTGCCGGCCGTTGAAGCGGAAGAAGGAAGCAAAAAAGCGCCAGTGTCATCTTGACATGGCTGAAATGTTTGCTTCTACCTCGTGCGATTAACGCCAGGCTTGAACAGCCACCGAGGGGGGACAACGCGCTGTCGCACGAGGGTGCCAAGTGGCGACCGTTGCCTCGAGTAAAATGAGACAGGCAGTTGTGTGTGTCTCTGGATTAGGGTCCGGCCCAAGGATGTCGTGCGAAGGAGGGGGGTTCAAATCTCGTGATGGAATTGTTTCCTTCTCGATGTTCGCTGCCAAGAAAGAAGGTGAAGGCTCAGCTAAGTGCCTGTAGTGCGAGGGCTCGTTTTGACTGCTGTGTCTGCATGTTAGTATTCGTACGTTGGCACCTCATCACTGGGTAATGGCGCGAGGCTCAGCCGCACGAGGTATGTTTGTGGGCGCTGAGCAGCAGCGGAGCGTTGGTCTTTCCGGGATCCATGTGAGGATGCATGTGTCGCCCTACAAATAATCTCCTTGGATCGCCAGAATATTCGCGGGGTTTGTTCTCTTGTTCCTGGCGCACAGAGAGCATGGTGGCCGGTCATCCCGATGACAGCTGAGCCAACTTCCAAGCGGGTACGAATATCCGTAAGGTAGCGAGGGTTTGCTCGGTACCACGGCCGAATGACAAGGAGAAGAATAGCAATCTCGTGGTTTCATCGTTTCTAGCATCTACGCGGCGCAAATTTGCCGCAAAAATGGGCATGATTGCTTCGTGAACCGTGATTGCTTCTTTCGTCTGCGCACCTTTACGCAACAATGGAACCAGATTCCAGAGCTTACTGCGCATGCGTAGAGGTGCAGAGGTCTGGCGCAGCTATCCTGCCGTGGCTGCCGTGGATTGATCCCGATATCCATATTAAAGATGGCCAGCAGATTATAGGGCGAAGATGATCCGGGGTCGGGTGGCCGGAGGATGGATGATAGGTTGAAAGAGGCAAAGACAAAGCGTCCGTTGCGGCACCGGTGTGTTATCCCCTGGTTCAAATTGAGAAGTCGCTCTCTGTGGACGTTGATTGTGACTTCCTCGTCGGAGCCGGCGCCTGCTGGGAATTTTGGCTTCCAGAGGGACTTTACTGCATTAGGCGGGCAGCTTGCAGATGCCTGACGTTAGCGCAGATCCCAGCCGCCCGTTCGGCCCCATCTGACCTTCTGGTCTGGCGGCGGACATCATGTCCATTGGTCAAAAATGTCACGAGCTGTCAGGGGGGAAAAGGAGCGTGATTGGCTCTCGCATTGTTCCATGCAATTGGATCCCACCCGGGTGGAGTACGTACCTAAAGTGAGATCTCCTCCTGCCCCTCTCTCGACCCCGTTCCTGCCTTCCCCCGAAGTACCTTTCAAAAGGGGGCAAGAGGGACGCACAACCAACGGCTCAAGTACCCAAGTTCCTTCCCATACATGGGGTTTATCCATACTGCGCTGCTCCTTCTATTATGCGCTGGTATGGAAGCTACAAGACCAGGGGAAGGAATGGAACGAACGGAGTAACGGCAGTGATAGCCAGTCACAGTTGGCGTGTTCGTCCCTCCTTCTCAAGTAAGGCAGGTTTCGTTCTCTTCCTCCTTCCCTCCCCCCACACCGGGACAGGAGCATCCCGTCACACCGTGTCATTGGCTGCAGATCCTCAGACGAAAGAAAGAAGGGGCTCTGAGATTCTTGCCCTCGGGAATCGAGGTGTCTCTTCTCTTGGCTTGACATTTTCTTCTTGTCCATCTAAAAGACTCCAGTTCATCATCTCCATTTTCTACTCCATACGACCACTAGGCCTCGGATCCATCTGTGATCATCTGCAATGCGGATATTTGGTTGCTCCTTTGGGTCGTTAATCAAGTGGCCCCCAATTTGCCCATGCCCAGCACGGTGGCTGCGGTTGTGGATGCAACCGCCGGTACCTGCATATCGCGTTTGTCAATCTGGAGCCATTCGCGGTATTTCCATGATTATCTTAGTTACCTTACTCAGTACGGCACATGTACTGATCAAAAGTAGTGTAATTCTGCAGGCTACGCCGGTACACCCCGAGCTATCGCATCACACCGTCCTTCACATCTCCCGCCAAACCGTTGGTGCTAAATGCTTGGTGCCATGCACGATGCGCAACGATGCAGCCGTAACCCGAACGTGGACTGGCCAAACAGCCTGCAATGTGGTGTCATCGCCGTGATCCTCCATTTCGGCTGGCTCGTAAGGCCAGCGATACAAACGTGAAGCAGCCACAAGTTTCCAACAGCAGTGTCTGACCAGCTTCCGCCGCTGCGCCGCCAGCACCGGCTGCCCGACACATCGAAATGCATCGCAGCGGCGCATCGCACGGCGCAGCATGATCAACATCCCCCATCCGCGCTTCGTCATCGCACCTCTCCGCTGGGTCTCTCACAGTCATAACTCATCTCGTCCCATGCTCAGCAACCCAATTCCATCTCGCAGACTCGCACTGGCATTGCCGGCCATCCTCGCATTTAGTCCAACCCAGTGCTGCAATGGTCCATCTGCAATGTCCGTACCCATATGGGTCGGTCTCCTCTTCTGCGATGGATCCAAGGCCGCCGCTTCGCCTCTCTGTTCTGGTCATTGCTTCATGCTTCTTTTACGCTATAGTCTGTCGTTGTATAGACTATAGAGTAGAGTACAAGAAATTCCGCCTTTTCGCCTCTCGCTTCTCGTATACCCTCGACTCCTGCGTCCGCCGTCGTCTGGAGTACAGCAGAAAGGCGTCGTGGTTGGCTCCATGGAGTCAAGCATCAAGCATTGGATGATATGCAAAGGGGGCAAGGCCGCGAGGGGCCAAGCGGCAAGCGGCAAGTCTTTAGGTACCTTTTCCTGTGGTAGCCAAACGTCGAGGGGTACAAGCCACCTCCCACACCACCGGTACATTCGCCATGTACCCAGCCTGCCCACGTCACACGGCCAGCAGGATCCTGGTCGCGTCGCGCTGGCCCGGCCCCTTGAAGCAGTGCCTTAATCTATTCCAACCCACATCCAGAGCGATCCCGACCACACACACTGTTCGCTCGACCACTGCCCTGGGGCATATCGCCGTTCCATGCTGGAAGGATTGAGGGCACATACGGAGTACCTTACCACCCTACCTAGGCTGGCCGCCAGAGCCCTGGTTCAATCGTTCAGTGGTTGCGTCGCAGGGTCGTAGCGTCGCAGTGGCTGCACCTCGGAGACAGGAGGCGGCTGTCGTCCGCTGTCACTAACACAATCTCGAGCCAAGAAGGAGAGTTTCAAGAGACCCCTCAATCAGAGGCCAGAGAAGCAACGACGCTTACCCACCAGAAGCCCGGTCATGAGGTCCACGACTCCTTTGTAGCGGCAGTCAGTGCCCTCGTCTGGTCTGAGCATTGGCGCAATGAACAGATGAATTCTAAGGTAGGAACCACCAGACGAACACCTGTTACTGGCATTTGCAGGCGCAGCGTTGCTCAATCCCAGACCCCTGATAGTGAGGGCGAGAGATAGAGGAAGGTGTACTATGTATGTTCTCAAGGAGAACGGGAAGAGAATGCGCCATTTCTTCTCGTGACCCCATGCTCCCCCATTTCCTTTGCCTTTGCTTGGCTATCCTCGTCGGAAGGTAGAACCAAACCAAACGGGGCTAAGAGCGAGGAGAGAACAACTTGAGCAAGCGCTCCATCTCATCTCATCTCATCTGTAAGAAGTCACTGCCCGCTTCCCCCGTTTGTTCGCTCGTTCCCCCCAGTGGCCAAGAACGGGGATCAATGGAGATGAGCCATGGCATGGTGGTGCCTGCTTTCCAAAGTAACCTACGCAGTACGGATAGTGACTACTGCGTAGCGTCCAAATGAGAGTGCAAGAGGAATAGGAAGACCTGAGCAAGGCGAAAGGGGAGTGGAAGAAGTTGCCGTAAACTGCACAGCAAAAAGGGCTCCAGCAAGTTAGCAACCTCGTTCGGCATCCCATCCCTCGACCCCTGTCTTGCGCCCCCCGTTCACCCTTCCCACCCCCCTTGAGAGTTCCCGCCTTGCATCCCACCACCAGAAATGCCATATCCTCTAGCCATGTCTCTCACTCCACCTGCCCACCCGTTTCCTTCTCTTTAGATGCCCTTTTTCTGCATCACCTTCATTCCAGTGTTCACCTTCTTGTCCCCTCGTTTCTCCCCCTCCTTTCGTCACCTACACGGGGTCTTTCGACTGTCACTCTCTCAAATCACGCTCACTCTCAACGCTCGCTCACTCGCACTTGTGGCCTCGCCCTTCTTCTTAGGGTCGTCGCACTCAGCCATTCCTTTTTCTGTTTTTTAAACCTTGACAAAAAAAAATCCACAAGCTGCGGATTACGCTCCTTTTCTTGGCTTTCCTGCTACTCGTAGTCAGGACTAACCAGCACATTCATTTCTCTTGGACCCCGTTTGGTGTGTGTGTGTTGATCGCATTTGTTTCTCGCCTCGAACTTTCGGGCAAACTCATAGGAGGATCGACAAGACGAAAAGCCGAATTCGCCAACTTCTGGTATCATCGTAACGGTTTTCCAACCTCCCGCTTCCTCGCAACAAGACCTTCCGACTAGCGTCTTTACGATCGTCTTACACCGCGCATCGCCTCGCAACCACCTCGCGTGTCGATCTTTCGACGCCAACACGAATAGATCAATCAACTTGTCGTAGTAGAAACGTACTCTGTGACGGTATAAGAAAAGGAATCAGCAATTTCGTCGCCAAATTCGCCAACCTGGCTCACGGAGATCTGTCTAAGCCGTAGAAACGCACTCACTCAACACATCCCGAACCTGAACTCTGCCGGTGGTGCTGGACATCGACGACGGAATATCGTAGGATCTCTGTGTTGTAGCAGCCTCGAATCAGCATTGCTGAGGATCAAACCCGAAGTCTCTTAGACATTGCCGAGCCCGGTCGAAAAACATCGCCAACTCTCTCACCGAGCCACCGCCGAAGCCTCCACCATTGAAATCCGTCACGTGTCCAGGGAACCAACTCCCAGCCACTGGAAAGCGCAAAAGCTGACGGAAGAAAATCACCTGGAAAGATCAAACTTTTTGTCGTCACTCCGAACAGATTTGCAGGACCCTTTTGTCTCTGACATCTGACCCTGATTTCATTGTTGAAGAGTCCAAAAGAAGAAGTCACAGGTGAGTCGGGTTACACCTGCTCCTTCCTTCCGTCCTTCCATCACCAACTTCACCGACGACCCAATCAGCGCCTCGCTTAACCCATCGCACCTTCGCTTCACTTTCTGTTGCTTCCTGCCTTGCTCCTTCCTCAGTGAATAGCAGCCGGGCCTCCATATCACCCACGCGTCGCATCTCTTCTCTGCCTGAGAAACTTCCTCACTCACAACACACAACACACCACACCGCACTACACGACGGAAAACTCACAAATATCGTTTGCGCAAAGCTAACCTTCTCAAAGATCTCTCATTCTCCAGCCTTCCGTCAAGAATCCAACTGGGCTTGGACTTTCTTCAGATCTTTTTCAAGACCAGCAAACGGACTTGTCTTTCAGTCGAATTTTCCTACTTTGATACCCATTCAACCCTTGTATCACCTTATCTCACCTCACCCTTCACATCTCATCACCACAACCTTCCCTCCGACAATATTCATCAATCGCCACGATGAAGTTGTCCAACACCCAGGCTCTGGCTCTTGTCAGCGCCCTCATCAACAGCGCCGAGGCTTTCTGGCGCATGGAGTGCCCTGGCCGCGTTGGCCTTGCTCGTGTCGACCCTCTCATGTCCTTTGGTGGCGCCGCTCCTCACGTTCACGCTATTCACGGTTCTGGCGGTAAGTTTAATGAATCCTCCTGATTTTTGAACTATGCGCCTGCCTTCTTGTCACCACAGCATCACTATTATTTTATTTTCACGGGTCGCTTACTCCAGAATCAGGCATCTCTCCTACCGCTGACTTTGGCGACCTTACCGCCAGCGACTGCACTTCCTGCCGTGTCAAGCAGGACAAGTCGGCCTACTGGCACCCGGCCCTGTACTTCCAGGACTCTGCCACTGGGGAGTTCGAGCTTGTTGATCAAGTTGGAGGATTGCTTGCGTAAGTCTCTCATTGCTCTCGAAGCAGCACACAAAGTACTTGATACTGACTGCACCAGGTACTACCTTCTTAATGGAAAGGATATCAAGGCATTCCCCCCTGGCTTCCGCATGATTGCTGGCGACACCAACCGCCGCAACTACACTGCTGGAGACCCTTCCAAGCCCGACCCCCAGAAGTCCGAGTGGGCTATCCTCGGCCAGACTGACCAGTCTGTTCTTCGTCAGCGTGCCATTGGCTTCAACTGCCTCAACTATGGCCGTGACCCCGAGGGCACCCTCTACCGTCACTTCCTTCCCGACAAGACTTATCTCGATGCCAACTGCGCTAATGGCGTTCGGTTCGAGATGATGTTCCCTTCGTGCTGGAACGGAAAGGACGTCGACTCCACTGATCACAAGTCTCACATGGCCTACCCTGACCTTGTCATTGATGGTACCTGCCCTGATGGATTCGAGACCTCGACCCCCAACCTTCTGTACGAGGTCATCTGGAACACCTACGCCTTCAAGGACCGCTCTGGCCGCTTCGTCATTGCCAACGGTGATACTCAGGGATATGGATACCACGCCGACTTCATTTCCGGTTGGGATGAGGACTTCCTCCAGTCTGCCGTCGACACCTGCACCAACCTGTCCGGTCGCATCGAGGACTGCGCCGTCTTCAGTCTCCAGGACGAGGCCACTTCCAAGCAGTGCGAGATGAAGGTTCCCGATCTCGTCGCCAAGGACAATGTTACCGGCCCCGATGCTCAGCTTCCTGGAAACTGCCCCATCACCTACGCTGACGGCTCGTCTGAGGGCGGCAACGCTGACCCCGTGAGCTCCACCTCCACCATTGCGGCTCCCACCGTTCCCACTCTCACCTACAAGCCTGGCAAGACCGCTACCTCCAACCCTCTCCCCGGTGAAGTGTTCAAGGAGACTGGCAAGATTCCCTACGGCTCATCCAGCTCTGTCTCCGAGACGGTTGCTGCTGAGGCCGTGGCCACCCCTACTCCTGAGCCTACTCCCACTCCCGAGCTCACTCCCACCCCGGTCTTTGAGCCCATCACCACTTCTACTCCGGCCAGCTCCTCTGCTCCGGGTATGTCTTGCGTGTCTACTCAGACCATCACTGCGGTCAACACCGTTTCCATCATCTGCTGGGAGGAGGACATTGTCTACGTCACTGAGTACGAGGATATCACGTCTACCCTGACTGTGACTCCTACTCCGTCGGCCTCGGCTCCCGCCATGCGCGCCAAGCGTCACCTCCACCAGCACCGTCATCACCACGTCTAGGTGATGAAAACGTGTTTTCTCAATTTCTGGAGTTGAGACTCCCTCTTGTATCTGGGTGCGAAAAAAATCAGGGTTGCGGACGTCGTTTTTAAGGGACGCCACATCAGGATGTGGCGGTCTTATTCTCTCTATCCAGTGGAAAACCTAGCCCATTGAGATGATTTGGCTTCCCATTGGTTCTCTCGCATCTTGCTCAAGAACATTATCGTTGTTGTCTGGACATTCTGAGCAGACGGACACTTTTTTCCTTCTTGGTGGTAGCTAGCAAGGTTCGGGCACGATATGGCCTGCGTCATGAGTTTACGGCAATCATTAGGAGGCAAATCATCAAGTTGAGTTGGTCCTTATAACGTGTTTCTTCTTTTCATGGTAGTCCGAGTGAGGCGGGCGTCGTAAGGGGGGGATTGCATTTGCATCGCATTGATTGCGTCCATGTTGTAGGCGTTGTAGGTTGATGTTTGAGAGATACCTATTCGCATTAAGGTTATTCCAACGAATCCATCCACAAGACGCTTCCCTCCCGGAGCCATTGCGTGAGAAGTTATCGCCAGTCCAACACCAGGTCGCCTCTCCACTTCTATCAGTAACACATGTGACAGAAGCCCACATCGCTTGATGTCGGCCTTGCATGCCATTAAGGTCCCACTGTTGACTGACCTCCTGATGAGTCGATGATAAAATGTCAAAAATTAAGCATAGTATAGGCAGGGAAGCAGAACAGTAGTCCATGTCTGAATATGGCCAAATCTCGCGCTAGCAGAATGAGTCAACGACAACTGAAAACGCAAAGTAAAGGACGGGCAACATCTAAATAAAAACGAATTCATTCTTACTCCGCCTTTGCCTGGCACATTTCATAAGAACTCAGAATCCTGCCATCTATACAGTTTCCCTAAATGCATTTTGGAGAATATGAGCGTGGGTTTCATCATCACCGTTCTTTCAGTAGGGGAAGATACCTTAGGAGGTACCTTATTCAACACGACCCGTGGTCTAATCGGGGCGTGCCTGTCTACCATCAGCCATGTCGCCTTCCCACGGAAGGAACCACCCGACCGAGGGAAGGCGCCGACTGGATATGATGGTTAGGAAGGAGAAGGACAACCTGGGCGCCCACCTCCCCAGGTTACAATTAAAGTATCAAACTCCTTCCTGGCAGGTTGTGATGTTTTGTCTTGAGGATTTTGAAGAAGTTGGTAAGGGGACTCAACACATCACGTCAATCGGATCAGAGGAAGGTTTTAGGTTTATCTAGCATTCGGCGAGGGGGATATCTCTTATGATCTCCTTGATGGACTGCATCCATAGTGGTATCAGAACGAAGTGCTCCTGTCAACATCAACCTCCATTTTGGTACCGTTTGGTTTGGGTGTGAGTCATATGACACCTTGCTGTGCATCGTGGAACGGGGCTTTTTTACTGTCTCAGTCGTGCGCCTTTTCCTGAGGCTTCGCGCGATATGGGTACGAAATAATCTAATGGATAGCTATTAGGTGTCTTGCCTAACGGAAGTGAATTGGCAGGGTCTGGAAGGTTTCGTGACAATCAAGGTAGAGCAGGAAGCAAATAAGGTATCTAGAGAAGCTCTTAAGAGTTGTCACCATCGGGTCAGCTGTGTGCTGTGTCGGATAAGGTAAATCTGCCTGCCAAGGGTGTACGAGACGTCAAGAATGGAGATGAGAAGCCCACGAGCAGCTCTCCTGAGTCATTCAGGAAGTTGGGCAGGTGGCAGATTTCTGAGTTCTCTATAAGCGGACTCCTTTAAGGGCATCAAGCGGGGATCAAAGGAAAAGAAATTAGTCCTTCTTCGTACAGGCGGAAAAGACTCAATCTGCTGACATGTGTAGGTATCTACAAGATACATAACCCCCTGGCGGCCGCCAAAACCAAACGGCTTAATAGGCGAGCTTGCCTCACAACAACTTGACAAACCCACGCCAGAGACCCTCAGACAAGAAGACACCTTCCAGATCGACCTCGCGAGAGATAGTCTTGAGCCGACGCACATTCTCCTCGCCGTACCCGGCATAGACCTTGTCCGTCTGCGCTGCGGACGCGTAGTTGATGTACAGGTAAGGGTGCGAGATCTCAGACTCTTGGGCGTAGGTTTCCATGCGGGAGAGGACGTTTGCCGTCATTGTTTCCACGGCTGCGTCGTCTTGGGCGTTGGACCAGGCTGTTGAGACGAGGAAGACTAGGGGGAAAAGAAGTGGACGTTAGCCTAGGGGGAGGATCAAGTGGAGAAAATTCGGATATGTGATGGGTGAGGGGAGTTCAGAGGGTGTTCAAAGGAGGGAGGGAGGAAGAGCGAGTATTGGACCACTTACTGTAGAGTGGCTCATCTTGGTCGATGCCGAGTGCGTTGCCGCCGCGTTGCTTCATCGCCTGGATGGCGGTCGTCGAGAGAGGGTAGCAGATGAGGTTCGGGGCCAGGCCTTCGACGCTGGAGATTGCGGAGACTTCTTTTCTGAAGATTGCAAAAGCCTGGGTGAGAAGGGCTCGAGAGGGGAGGGTGCTAATTGTGCCGAAGAGGTGGCTGAGAGGGAAACATCAATAGTCAGCACGTTTCTTGCAGTCCTAGTAGGTGAATGGAATAGGGACTTCAGAACATGGTGAAGAAATAACCAGAAACAGTAAGACATACCGCGTGGTACCTAAGACAGGCGGCTGCAGCGTCCCAGTAAGATTCGCCATGGACCCCAACCTCGCGGTCCTCGTTGTCGAGGGAACACTACGAATAGCCCTGAAGACCGCCGGCTCTGCGACCGCCGGGTCAGCGTACCACTCCGACCCCATGAGCGAGAAGGCGCCCGAGGCTTGGTTGTGAATGTAATAGAAGTCATAGGCCATGTCCATGTCGGCGGTGAGCTGGGGGTTCGTGAAGAGGTCGTAGATGGCGTCGAGGGCACGCTCGGTTGTGTTTGCGGAGGTGTATGTTGCGCGCTGGCTGGATACGGCATCTTGCGGGAAGACGCGGACGGTGAAGGCTGTGACGATGGCGAAGTTGTTGCTGCCGCCGCGGAGGGCGAAGTAGAGGTCCGGGCTGCTTGTTCTGAGGCTGTTGTGATTGTGCCGTTTGCAAGGACGACCTTTCGGTGAGCTTGTTAATGATGTTTTGTTCTCTCCTGGCTTTTCTGATGGGGCGAGAAGGAATGCAAAATATGACAGGGTGTCATGTTTCAACTCACCTCGTACTCGTAAACGTTATCCAAAGCCCAGCCGTACCGACTCGAGAAAGGCGACGTTCCCCCGCCGAGCGTGAACCCGCCGATACCAACAGTCGCGGACCGGCCACCCACGTAGGACAACCGCCGCCCCTCGAGAGCTTGATAGACCTGAATCACCGTCGCGCCACCGCCGATCCTAGCACGCGTGGGGGCTTCGGTGCCGTTACCGACGACTTCGACAGAGTTCATGCGGTCGAGGTCGATAGTGACGCCGGCAATGGAGTTGGAATCGCCCGCGTTACGTGAGTGGCCGCCGCCCTTGACGGCAAAGTGGCACCAACTATCGACGAGGGTCTTGAGGGTGAGGGAGACGTCGGGCGCGGTGATGGGTTCGACGCGGCATGCTGGGCGGACTTCTTGCTGTTTGGCGTCCCAGATTGCAAAAGTTGTGTCGTTTTCTGGGTAGTGGAAGCGGGAGGGAGGGAATGTGGCGGAAAGCTGGGCGCACTGGTTTGATGGAAAGAGAAATCCTCAGCTTCATGTGCCGTTTCTGGAAGATAGAAGATAGACCTATTAAAGGAAAGGTTTGGAAAACTTACGGCTTGCACGCATGATGCTGAGACTGGTTCGGCAAGCTGGGATCTTCTTAGATGCCAGTCGATTGGGATTTCGGCTGCTGCAGCTGGTACGCCAATGGCGGCGGCGGAGCCGGCTAGGAGGCAAGAGGTGAGTAGTCCGGTAGGGTGCATCTTCACAACTTGAATACTTCGCGGATCGAGAACGATACATGGCGACGGCTGTCCGCAGATCTTATACTTCTGAGTTCTGGGTCCTTCTCTTGGAGGGCTGCCATTGAGGTGCAGCGGAAAATTCGAGTTGTCAATATCAGAACGCTGACACCACACAGAGAGTCGGAGACCTCGTACGGGACAGCATATTGGGATTGCTGATGACTTTCGGCGGTATGGAGATTATGTCCCTTGCTGACAAGATCCCCGGGGATTGAAGACCCGGGGATTGAAGAGGAATATAAACGCTTGGCCTCGGAGTGCCCAAGAAAGAAGAAGAAAAAGCGATGACTGAGCCTTGTTCATCCAACTTGGCAGGTGACATTGGATCGGGAACATAACTCGCTATATGCAGATCAATTTCAAAAAAGGGAACTACCACCAATTTGCCTGCTTCTGGTTTCAACATGACGTTACGGCGGAAGTATCCGAAAGTGGATTTCCTACGAGGAGGCCCCTAGGGACGGAGTATAATAATTGGTTCAAGACTTGCCGAACCATAGGGGGTATCTTGTTAGCCTTCGGACCGGTTGCTACTTTTTTGTCACTGGAGAGTCTATGCTAGACCCAGTCTATCAATAATCACATTGGCTTCCCATTATGGGGTACATATGGAGAGTAACTACATGTACCAAAGGGACAGTCGGAATTGCCGTGAGAGTACGTCACCTCGAGGCTATCTTAATGCTTAGTGAGTGAGGTGGAATGCCTCGCGGAGGCAGATCCAATCAATGGCTGTAATTCCAGGAACTACGACTGAATTTCTGCGGTGCGGCAAGAATACCAATGGAAAGCCAAAACAAAGCTCCATGTGTCTGGTAGGATAGGAAGGACGTGCCGCTCGCCAATGCCTCCTCGCTGTCGAACACATGCCACCTAGATGACGAGTGCTTCTTAATCTGAGAAACTGTATCAGCCATTTTGGTCATAAAAAGACAATCACCCTTACGACGGCCTCATTCGAACTTTCATCTTCATTGATTCTGGTGTCCTATAACAGACCCGAATAATAGTGGAGATATGCGGGAAAAGAGAAGAGCTGGCGCGTCCAAATACCACTTACGGTATCTTCGGGGCGGATCAATTCGCTTCATAGTATTGCGGAAGCAAATGAGAGCTTGTCGGGGGCAACGAAGTCATCTAGATGATCCACCTCTGGGCTTAGCAACTCTTGGAATTAAGCTATGGTGGAGGACCCGGGAGATCGGCGACTTAAAGGAAACCCAGCAAAGTGGTTGTCATCAGTATCTAGAAGGTGTTAGGCAGAACTATTGAGTATATACGCAGCGCCATAACAGGTGACAATCTAAGCATGGCTGGAGTTATCAATAAGTCCGGTTGTCGATGACACCCCCGTTTGCTGACATGAAGGTTGTGGCCCTTGGCGTTCCTCATGCTTGTCTTACCCCCGACCTCTTTCTCTATAATTTGAGTCCGCATGCTTGTAAGTAAGAATGCAAAGCTATTTACTTTCATTCAAACGGCGATAATCATTCCGGATCGCCTGGCGGTCGGTGAGAAGATGACTTTTTTCCACCTTAGAACCCCACCTCACCAATGCCAAAATTGCTTAGAATGGGTTTTAAAGATTTCTCTACCACAACGGCTCCGGCTAGCAACTAATTTTCAGAAGTTTTACAGCTAATAATGTCACCCGGGCGTTGTATGAGTCTCTAGACTAAGACGTTATTGGGCTAATTCATCCCAAACTGAGAGGCAAGCAACAAACACCATCGCAGAGGGAGTTCACCGAAGCATTTGTCCCACAATCTATGTTTATTCGGAAACAATTTGCAGGTGATTCCAACAAACAATCAAAACCACCATGATCGTCTGCAGATCTCGAGTGGGATGAAGGGTAGTTGAGAGTAGCGACACTAGGCGAGACCAAGGTTGCCTACCAACGTGCTTCTAGAAGCTGCATGCCACCCACGCCCAACAAACACAACCCCGCCATGGTGGACTGGCCCTAGAATTCCGTGTCTGGCTAGGATTCTCCAACTTTGGACGAACAGGCGGAATTGGCCTCTTGTCGTTGGACGACTGTTCAAAGGATTTGAGCTTTCCCCTCATTCTTGTCATGCACGCGGCCCCATCTTTCTTCGGACGGCGATCCTCCGCGCATCTGGGGCCTCACCGTTGATGGCGTCGTATTTCTCCTGGATGTGACGGTGGCAGCCCACCAACAATTGAAGAGTATTTTGTTTCTTTTGAGGTTCCCCCTCACGGCCGGGTCCAACGAACCTAGATTCGTGAGGGGGCGTTGAGCTTTTCCGTGTCACTACAAACTGCGGGTTGGCCGGCAGGGTTCGTCTCTAGATCAACTTTGGATCATCTACCTTCCACAGTAACCTTACGCGATGGGCCCAGGATTTTGGAATAGCCGGCCCAAGATGCGTCGTGAGCGAAGAACGGCGATCGGCGCTGTCACCTTATTCTTGGCCACCGCGTGGCCATCCGCCCATGCCCAGCAATGGAACTGGGATGAACTTGGGGTATGTTGCATTCTTCCACTTTGCGTTCGATGCGACTGAGGGGTTGTCGGATGGGATGGTGGTGGGTACGATGAAGTTGGCAGATCATGTTGCATGCGTCTAGGATGTTTGTCTTCCCGTCTATATGATCCCTCAAAGCCACTTTTCGGGTTCCTTCTTTCTCATCCCGCCGGCTCAGCTCTTCTCCAGCATCGTCTTGCAAATCTTGTGGAGAAAGTACAGCTCTGTAGCGAGGTCGCGATAACTGAGAGCCTTCGATACCAGACCTGCCATAAGCCGGAACCCCTCGACGTATTCGCAATGCGCTCGGCCATCCTCGCCGCCGTAGGCCTGTCCTCTACGGCCGCGGCACTTGTCAGCCGCGACGGCAAGACCGGCCGTCTTCCCGCGCTGGGGTGGAATTCGTGGAACGAGTACGGGTGCGACATCAACGAGACGGTGTTCCTCACCGTCGCGCAGCACATTGTGGACTTGGGGCTGAAGGATCTGGGGTACGAGTACGTCAACATTGACGACTGCTGGAGTGACAAGGAGTTGCGGAGGGATAACGTCACCAAGGAGATCATTGTCGACAAGGTGAAGTTTCCGCAGGGAATCAAGCATACGGTGGATAAGATCCACGAGTTGGGGTTGAAGGTCGGGATCTACAGTGATGCGGGTGAGTTGAATCTCTGCCGTCTTTGGTATTGCTGAGGATGCCGAGTTGCGCGAGGACTTCGTGAAGGCCGTTGGTTGTGATCCATGTTGCGAGAATGCTGGATGCTCTAGTGTTTGGTCTTGCGACAACGTGCTGACGCAACTATCGTAGGAACTTCTACTTGCGGTGGTTTCGAGGGATCGCTAGGATACGAAGAAATCGACGCCGCCACGTTTGCGAAATGGGGTATCGACTGTAAGTTCCATCACCGTTCGCCGTTCCACTCTCCCTGCGTCAACGTCATCCCTCAACTTAACCCCTCCAAACCCCTCCATCGTCCCTTAGACTCATCGCAAAACACATTATCGGATCAACGTTCTAACAGGCAATTCACTTTCTCCACAGACCTAAAGTACGACAACTGCAACGTCCCGAAAGAATGGTTCGACGACTGGAAATACGTCCCCGAACTCTGGCTCGGCGGACCCCCCAACGAAAACCAAGACAACGGCGACCCCGTCAACTCCAAGACGGGTCTCCCGGCCCCCGCAGGCTACGACTGGTCGACCTCCTTGACGGCAGAACGCTATCGCATCATGCGCGACGCCCTCCTAGCCCAGGAAAGGACGATCCAGTACTCCCTCTGCGCCTGGGGCCACGCCCACGTCGAGGCCTGGGGTAACGAGACGGGCCACAGCTGGCGCATGTGGGGCGACATTTACCCAGAGTGGTACGGCCAGCACCAGTGGTCCTGGGGCCTGATGCCGATTTTGAATCACGCTGCCTTCTGGAGCGGTCCCGACGTGAACGGGTTCTGGGGCCACGGGGACTGGGACATGCTCGAGGTCGGCAACGGGAACCTGACACTGCAGGAGAGCAGGAGCCATTTCGCGTTTTGGGCCGCGCTGAAGAGTCCGTTGATCATCGGGACAAAGTTGGAGGGCATTCAGCCCGAGATTTTGCAAATCTTGTCCACGAAGGAGCTGGTGAAATTCAATCAGGATCCGGAGTTCGGGGCCGCGGCGCAGCCGTATAAGTGGGGGCTGAACCCGGACGGAGCGTGGAACATTACGCACCCTGCCGAATTCTGGTCCGGGGCTTCAGTGGAGGGGACACACGTGTTTGTGCTCAACACGCTGAGCGGCACCGAGAAAAAGACGGTCGCGTTCAAGGATGTTCCTGGGCTGGAGGCCGGGAAGAAGTATGTTGTGCACGACATGTGGGCTGGCAAGGATCTCGGCGTGTTTGAGGACGAGTACATCGTAGAACTGGAGAGCCACGATACGGCTGCTTTGAGGATCAACGAGGTCAAGTGCGTGAAGAGGGCGGCACGGGGATGATGGAAGAGAAAGGGATCCGGCCCGAGGGGACAGGGATGGGTTGGTCACTTGGGTTCGGGGCGTGTTCAAGAGTCTATTGGGTCGCGGATGCAAGGGGCAGAAAAGACGTCAATTGCGATGATCCTGCAGAGAAGAAACCGCACAATGAGCCATGATGCGACTCCTGAATCGAGAAAAGCTGGTTGATTTATGTTCAGCGCCGATGGATAACATGAAAACATCCACCATGAAAAGCTTTCTCTCAAAATACCAGAAAACGCAACGGTGTTATGTACGACCTTGTTTACCTCTGCCGATAGCACGCAATCTCATCTCGCATTTGATTAAACCCGCCGCCCAGCTACCCGCCTCGCGCATACCAGCAGCCCACGAAGCTATTCCCAAAACTCACGCGTCGCCACCCCGCCGACCCGGCAAATTCATATTACCTCACGTTCCCGCAGCACCACCTCTGCTGATCCTCGCTTCTAGCCCTGTTCTGCGTGTAAGGTCGACTTCGGATGGGTGACTGGCCGAAGACGAGGACGTGAGTACCCAAGGAGGATTTTGCCCTCCTCCCTTCCATTGGAACGCATTCCCCAGGACGACGGGATGACAACGCATTCCCGGTGGCTAGATTAGACTGAGACCTCAACCCACCACTCGATTACCCTTTCCAAACAAAAAAACCAAACATGGCTACAGTCATCATCACGGATGGCGGTTGGTTGGGTCTGGGCAGCGCCGCAACGAAAGGACCCTTTGAGGCAGAGGTATGCTGCCAGCCATTTCCATTTTGTGAGGCGGAAATCCGTGTCATCCATCTTTTCTTCGTCCTCGTGATTCACCTCCAGGCCGTGTTCAATTTTCTTTCTTTCGCTCTGTACGAGTGGTCTTGCTATTCTGGATTTGGTTCTCATTCTTTCCTACACTTGTTTACACACTACTTACCATTTGCCAGAAGTGCTCACCAGACCGTTGTTCACTTTCCATCTTTCTTAACTCTTCCTAATCTAATCCCTAATACGAATATTTGGAGAGAGTAACACAGAAGACGAAAGAAGGGGGAAGCCGACTGTGAATACCCGAGAACACACTCACGCCATGAGAGACCCGATATCTGGCCAGTGATCTCATCACCTTCAGTCCCTCAGTCAACCATTAGATCTCGTCTTCAGAATACCAAACCCACACAACCATATCACAACATCCCAGTCTCTTCCCGGAGATGTCGAGCCTGCTACTCCGCATCCGCGAGGAGGTAGATGGGGGAGGGGGCGGAAGCGGCGGCGGCGGCGGCATGACCCTACCACTCGTTCTCGCCATCGCCATAGGAGGCGGCGTCCTCCTCTTCATATGCCTCGCCTTCTTCCTCATCGCCCTAGCAGGCCGCCGCCACCGAGCCCGCGCCCGAGCCCGATCGACGACGCCCAGAACAAGACTCGACCTCGACTCGGATGGCGGCTCCATCCGCACGCCCAGCCCACGTCCGCGGCGCCTCACGAAGCCGAAGCCGGGCGAGCCGTACGCGGACATGGTCGAGGTCCAGGGGAAGAAGCAGCCTCCCCACCGCTCCCTCTCGTCCATCATCAGCGTGCCCAGGAGCAAGAGCTGGAGCGTCTTCAGCAGCACGCCTTCGGAAGGTGCTGGCGGGCAGCAGCGTGGAGGACACCTGAGAAGGAATAATAGCTGGATTGACGAGGATGCGATTCACGGGCCCAGAGTGCAGAGTGATGGCCGGCGGCTGAGTATCCGCGACAGCTTCATACTACGCACGCCGACGTTACCGGATCTGTTTGGGCACAAGGGCGAGGGGGATGGTCATTTCGACGACGAATGTATAAACTACTCCATTGAACAGCCTCGGCCGGTCAGCATGCCGGCACAGCGTGGCCAGCCTTTGCGGATGCCGTTGCCGAGGACGGCATCGTACGAGCTGGCCGAGAAGCTGGCGGCTGCGGCGAGGGGGGGACCGCCCGTACTTCCAACCCCACAGGGACCGGTACCTCGACCGGTGCCGTTGCAACGGCTGCGGCACAAGACGACGGAGTCGGATCTGGCTGAGATTTTGCGTTCTACGGAAGAGAGACTGCAGCTCGGGACACCAACAAATAGCAGGCCGGCCACACGACAGAGGGCTGCATCGGCATCAGCTGGGTCCAGCGTCAAGACCCCGCGAGGGTCGCCGACAAAGTCGCAGTCTCCCATTAAGGCTCAGTCACCGATCAAGATCCCGTCACCAGTCAAGAACCAGTCGCCTGTCCGGTCACGATCTCCGGCAAAGACTCAAGTGCTGTCACACGTTGGCCAGGCGTTGGACCTTAACGCCCAGCGAGCTCGAACACCCAGCCCGTCGAAGCGAATGGTTATTCCAATGCTTGTCCAGACTCCAAACCACCACAATAGGAACACTTCACAGTCTTCGGCTGTCTCAGATGCGGATAGTCTGTTTGGCGAAACGACCCCGGAAGTTGAACACATCTTGCCAACAGGACTTTCGAGCCCCAGCAGACGATCCGAGCATGAGTCCCCGACCAAGCCCACCGACAACGGCGCATCGATAGAATCCCCTGGCAGCGATGCCTCATCGTCTCTGTCAACCTTGTATAGCGTTAACGAACCCGAGGATGACAGCAAGACCGGCGGTACTGGACACGCAGACAGCACCCCCCGCGGCAGGAAACCCAGGAGCCTTGTCATCGATACTCAAATATGTGATCCTTTCATCACACCAGGCCCGCCAGAAGTGCCTCCAAGGAGCCCCAAACGCCAGTCTTCCAGCTTGCCGCCTCTCCGACGCATGACGCCGCCCGAAGAGGAGATCCTGAACCGAACACCTACGAAGGTGACATCTGTTGCCAACTCTCCTATACCGAGACCGTTGGACGTCATCAAGCGCAGCAGCACGGCCGACCAACTCCAGACGCGGTACTCCATCATGATGCAACCATCCGACCTGGCAGCATCGCCTGAGACCATTCGCCCGAAGAGCGTCATGTCGATGAAGCCCGTCTTCCTCGTCTCAAGTAACAGCGTTGTGAGCATGAGAGCCAGCCCTGGCACGTCTCCTGAGGACAATGGCAGCAGGCCAGCGATGCCGAATAACAGGTTAACGTTCGGCCCAAAGGCACCTGTCTTCCCACCGCCCTTGGCCTTGAAAGCTGGCCTGGGATCGCCAAACCGAGAGGCCTTGAGAATGGGTAGCCCAGGCGGGAAAATATCGCCATCACGCGGCAGCCCTTCCCCTTCAGGTCGTGCTGGTCGTCAATCGACCGACTCCGCCGCATCTCCCGTTCCTGGCTCGCCAACTCGAAGACCACTGCCGAGCCCCGACCTGTCAAAGGGAGGATCTCCGACACCAAGGCGATATAAGCGTGGGATGGCTAGTCCAATTCGTGACCGTGCATTGTCCAGACAGCCGACGCCCAGAGAATCCCGCGTCGAGCGCGTTCTCTCGAGCTCTGATTGCCCTTCGATCGTGCTGAAGCCATCTAGCTCACCTAAGCGGAACTCATACCATCGCGACTTCGCGGTAATGGGGCTTCAGTCAACCGTGGCTCAGCTTCGGCGAATGAATAGCCAAATGAGTACCTTCAGCGCCGGTTCATCTATCTCGGATCCGGATAGTCCGACACTACCAAACTTGAGAGGAGGCGGGTTCAGCCCCGACAGGAGCAACAGCCGCGTAAGCAAAATGGGTCGACAAAACTACTTGTCTTTAGGCACGAGCCCAGGCTCAGCGAAGCGGACCAAGTCCATCAAATCGGCTAGAAATTCAATCGCCGTGCTCAAGAGCCGACCAGGGGGAAACAAGCATCTTGATTCGCTACGCGCTGCAGTTGAAGAGAAGGAAAATGAGAGAAGAAACGGTTCTCTGATTCGAGGCCCCCGGCCGCTCAACCCGACACCCAGAAGTGCCGGACGAGGGTTGGCTAGAGACAGCGTGGTGACTGTGGAGAGTCCCACGAGGAGAAGAATCTCCAGCGTCGATACCGAAGACCAGAAACGTCTGGAGAGGCCGATCAAGCATCAAGATAGCGGTACCAGCTTGGGTGCGTACGGGAAAGAGGACTACCTATTAAGCTCCCCAGACAGCCTCACTGCAGGGGCTGAGAGACAAAGCCCAAACATGAGGGTTTGAGTCCCAGAGTCTGGGGAATTTTCTTTTGTCCCATAGTGATCCATATTGATTGAGGGGTGTTGCGTTCAGCGACGGTTAGCGAGCACTTTCTTCAGGGTTGAATATTTCTAAGCTGAGCACGGCGTCATTGTAATACCTAGGCAGTAGGTCATTAGCAAAATTCAGATACAAGCATCACTCAAATCAACGAATTATACCACAAAAGAAAACCATATTCCCTCCAAACTAAAACCTAATAGTTGATTGGGATTTTATGCGAAAAAGAATGGTATTCTTACGTCGGTTTCATGAGCCCGAGTCTTATCCATGGTATCAAGTCGTCCCTCGTCAACTCCCAAGCCTCATTCGCAGTATGCACTTATGACTCGTCGACCCGCGGGCGCTTATTGCCCGGGTCGTCATGGCCATTGACGCCGTTGTTGGCCTCATCGTGACCGCGAACCCGACCTGCTCCCTCTCCTAGCTGGCCGCTTTCCTCATCCTCATTGCCATTCTGACCGATCCAGTTGCCGTCGGCGTCGAAGTGCTCGTGGACGTTCTCGGCCGTAATCCAGCCTCCGCTCCCAGGAAAGGCAGGAGGCAGGCCTCCATCGGCGGCGCCGTACAAGACTCCTTCGTATCCCTCGACTGGCTCATGCTCGCCCTCGAAAATGATCCGGCCGTCCTCTTCCTCATCATCCTCGTCGACAGGGTCGGGGTGAAGATCTGAGCAGGCTGAGATAGCGTCGTAGAACTTCTGAATATCGGCCTGGGCGCCATCAGTGACCGCAGGGACGAGAGTCAGATCGATCGTATCGAAGTCGTCATCGCCGTCACCGCCGTCGGCAAGTTGCAGCTGCATCCAGATAGCCTGAAGAGGAGCACCTTCGGAGATGGATCCGACCGACTTCACGGCGTGAATAGAGATGGAGGGGTAGGGGATCTGAACGCCAGCTCCTTGGGTCGAAGAGAAGATGGTGAAGGTCCTATGACGCAAATTAGTATAGGGTAACGCCCGTTTCGGTGGTAGCAAACATACTCTGAAGAGACAAACACGGAGACATGCTGCTCCACGAGCTCTTCAGTGGTCTCCTTCAAGGTCGTGCCATTGGGAGCAGAGGCAGCAGTCGAGACATCAGCCGGGAAGATGGCCAAGCTGCCCTTTTGCGACGCTGGGATCCATGCCTTCGCATCCTCGAGATGGAAATGAAGGACGGGCTTTCCTCCGAAGAAGGTCGCAGGAGTAGCCGACTGATACTCCTCAATTGGAGTAAAGTCTCCAAGAGAGGGAGGAGAGCGAATGGTTGTGGGCAGCATGTTGATGAAGTGTAAGAGATCCTTGAAAGGACTCTGCTTGGGCTGACCTGTGAGACCCTTCATGGTGGGGTGCTTGCCTTGGAGCTGGAGAAAGTGAAGCTCTTATCGCTATCACCACGTGATGATATTGATAAAGGAAGTGACATTCAGCAACTTTACCAATAAGGAGCTGGGGGCTGAGGTAATCAAGGCGGTGGGGCGGTCAGGTGATTGATCATTGGTCAGCAGGGTTAGGTCGATCTGCACACCCCACCTGAACGCTCGGTGGGGTCTGAGCTCTCCACCGACATTCTCCCAGAGTCCGATCGCACTCCGTTGCCTCGGACAGCTACGCACTCGCATCGCACCTCTTTCCATGGCGCAGAGCTGACGAATCCCCTCCAACCGGCGCAAACACTCCAGCCTGCAATCACGCTCTTGATCGGCATTTCTGAGTATCAGAAAACTCTAAAGAGGCCTATTGCTACCCTGAACGAGCTTGTATGACCCTCAAAACGGCTCATATAGTCCTGTTCCACCCTCATTTGCACACTGACACCTACGTACTCAAGGCAAGACTTGCTACCCACCATGTATAGCAACCGTACGTACCCTCCCGCTCCCTTTGTGTCTTTACGTAGCTCGAATTACTTATCATCACGATAGGCTCCCATCCGCTCCTCGAGCAGGTCCCCTTGACCGTCTCTCCGTTCATTTCCCTCCCCACCGCGACAACACTCTCCTACAACTACAAGGCTATGCCCTCAGCCCTGCCCCCCTCAGCAATAGGCGTACCAGCCGCAGTCACCGACGATGCAGCAGCTGGAGACGCCGCCGCAAACAAACCCAAGTATGTGATCTCGCAGTCGGGACACGCAGCCCATCCGGATGATATCATCGCCTCGTGTCGCGCGCTACAAGCACACATTACAAAGATGCAGGAGGACGCCGAGCGCGACCTGCGGGACCTCGAGACCAGGATAAAAGAGCGAGAGCTGGCTGAGAAGAGAAGAGTTGCGCCCGGCTGGCTGGACAGTGAAGCGCGGATACTCGAGCCGGAAAAGGTCGGCGGGCCATCCGAGGAGGAGGAAGGGCATCAGACATCAGCTGTAGCAGGGACCAGTGAGATGCCGTTGAACGATCAAGGTGCGGAGCTAGACCGAGTGTTTGGCGGGTTGAGCATGAAGTGAAGCCTCTTCGGCTGATTAAGATCTTTTGTTTTATTCGCGGGCGTTGTGCATGAAGGCCGGGGCGGCCTCATCTATTGATATCTTTCACACGGCCAACTTGCCGTTGCCGCGACGGATTTGGTTGAATTGGCAAACCATCTGCATGGGGGGGAATCAGACAATGCTTTGGCTACTGATGTTGCGACACGGAGTCGCTTGCGCGAGCCTGATCAAAAGCCAAGCCAAGCCAAGCCAGCCAGCCTGGGTGGAGGGCAGCTCCCTAAATACCTGTACACACTGGGCAAGCTATTATACCGACTATAAGGAAAAGTATGGAGAGGGTCCAGCTGTATACAGTCTAAGCAGCCTTCAGGAGATGGGAACATCGTGCAAGCGGCATGTCTTCGTACGCCGCACTCCTAAGGATACTCCTCAAGCTGGTTGGACTTGTAGGTAATGACCTTCTCTCAATTGACAAGAGCGGAAACGCTCGATGCCGCATCACGTCTAAGTAATCCTACTGTGATGCTTTGGGACATCAACTATCCAATGCACGTATGCATCAAGTTTCGGAAAGAAGACGTGATCAGCAGAACCATCCCGGCTACTTGTACGGTACCTGAGAGCGAGACTACGGCCTAATAGTCGGGCTCTTAAGCCCTGTCTACCGATTTCAATTTCCAAAGAACACCATTTGAACATGATGCGTACTTTCTACACACCCCTCAACCCTACGCTCTGCAGGTACATGAGCTGCTATCGCGTCGCCAGACTTGCTTTTCCATTTGCACCAGCCTGGCAGCCATGATAATGCACCGATTGGACTGAAATCAGGACCCTTGAAAGACTAGATGAACACTACACAGGCTCGTCTAGAAGTAGGTGATCAGTAAAGGTTGGCGGACTAGCCCGCCGAGGTATACGTTCCAAGTTTAGGATAATACCTCTCAATTCTCTCAAGGGTAGATAGCGAATAGTCTGAGAACCTCGGGATCTGCTGCCACATATAGGCCCTAATTCCCGAGATCTTGGTGTTCCGCTTCGCGTGGGGGAGCCACGCTAAGACCTTATCCCCTACCGGCAGTGGCCCCCGCGGCGCCGCTTTGCTCGGCCGGGAATGAGGAACGACCCGAGTCGTGTATGACAAGTTCCGTTGCAAGTTCGGCATACCGATATTTGCGAAGGCCGGCACTTATAGTTCGCCTTTCATCGTTTTGGCATCCAGCCGTGTGGTCCAGCTTGCGGGAAACGGACATTTTCGGTGAACTTGACACTCGTTCTTTCTGCTTTCTTGGGAGGGATCACCGTGGCATTACTTCATTTTCTGCCCAATAACGATCTTCGAACTATGCCATATTCCTTTTCGGCAGTGCGGCACTTGGATTGCCATGGTGCCAAACGAGGCACTGATGATATATAGATGAACCATCGGCCGAACCCTTCGAACAACCTTAGATGTTCATTATCATCCGCTTGATCTTGTCTGAATTACCACTCTATGATTGGAATCGGCATCAAATTCTCCCTTCAAGAAAATCACAATGGGCTTTAAAGTCATCATTGTCGGCGGCAGCGTCTCGGGCCTCTCCTTAGCTAACATGCTGGAGAGGCTCGACGTCGACTACACCCTCCTCGAAGCATACCCCAATATTGCGCCACAGGTTGGCGCGAGCATTGGTTTACTCCCCAATGGATTTCGCATCCTTGATCAACTTGATTGTTTTGAACCAATCCTTGAGATGGTTGGGGAATACCACCTGAAGAATAGCCTCTGCGGCCCAGATGGCAAACCACTAGGCCCGCCTAGCATGGCGAATATCCAACACCTAGAAGCCCGGTAAGCTGAGGCCGGAAGAGGATGCCGAATGAAAATGTAGCAGAATAATGACAATCGGTCTTTGAACTAGGCTTGGCTACCCTTCCATCTTCATCGACAGACAGATGCTTCTGCAGGTTCTCTTCGACAACCTGAAGAACAAAGATAAAGTCATACCAGAGAAACGGGTTGAAAAGGTAGAGCTCCTCAAGGAAGGGGTGCGTGTACACACCAAAGATGGCTCCGTATTTGAAGGCGACATCGTGGTCGGGGCAGACGGCATCCATAGCACCGTCCGGGAGGAGATGTGGCGCATCGGCCATGAAGAACGACCAGGCTACTTTCCTCTTGATGAACACTCTCGTAAGTCGCCGATTGCTGAGACCTGACCTGAAAACTGGCTGCAAGTCCCTTGAGAAGCGTAGCTACAGTAGCTCGTATGCTTATTGTGTCTAAACTGAAGCCCTAACGATGTTGTCTAGGAGTACCCGTCGCGACAAAATGCATCTTTGGCATCTCCAAACGCCCGAGCAACCTCCCCATCCACAATCAACAGATGGTCTTCAACGAAGGCAGAAGTTACCTTATCATTAGCGCACCTGGCAATCGGACCTACTGGTTCCTGTTTTCGGGCGTCGGAGACACCAAGTACGGAAAGGACATACCAAAGTATTCGAAGGAGGACACCGAGAAGCTGGCTCTGGAGCACTGGGAAGATCTAGTCTTTGAGAACGTCACATTTGGCGACGTCTACAAGAACAAGATCATGGCTACTTTGGTGCCACTGGAGGAGTACGTCTTTGAGAAGTGGCATTACCAACGAATCGTTTGTATCGGCGATGCTAGTCACAAGGTTGGTTCGGATCCCCCGCTTATCGTTGAGACTTTTACACTGACATTGGATTCCTTCATAGATCGATCCCATCTCCGGCCAAGGAGGTAACGGCGCCCTGGAAGCTGCTGCGCTTCTCACAAATTCCCTGACCGACATGTTGGAAAAGAACCCCAAGTCTCAGCCGACAGAAATCGTCGAAGCCGCCTTGGCCCAAGTCCACATCAACCGCCACGAGCGAGCCAAGACCTTGGTAGCGAATGCGCATACGCTTCAGCAGGTCTTGACTGGAAGATCGCCGTACTCCAAGATCGTCACCAAGTACCTCGTTCCCCTGTTGGGTGATGAAGGCTTCCTCGGCACAGCGGTCCCCATTTGCAAAGCAAGCCACAGGGTTTACAGGCTTCCCTTGCCCCAGCGACGCCGCCTTGTGCCTTTTGACGATGAACTCCCTGCCCGACCTATGACAACTCAAGCAGCATCGAGAATGGCTCTGGTCTTGGCATCCGCGTCTTTCGTGGCGTTGCTCTACTACTCTTGCGGTTTCACCCACTTCTCTGAGTTGATTGGAAGCGTCAGAATATGGATGTCTGGAGCATGGGATCTCGGCCTCGCTCAAGCAACTTCAAATCTGACAAAGACATCCTCGCTTGGTAGCCTTGTTGAACAGATCCAATTCAAGACAAGTCTCTTCTCTGCTCTAGTCATCTGGCTTGCAGAAAATCATCGATTCGGTAACAGACTTTCGGTCCTCCTATGGTAGGTTGCCCACCGCCAATGTCCCGCCACACGCCGATCTAACGTAAGGAACTGCAGGCCTTCGATTTCGGCTGCCGCGTTCATGGCCCTCGGACCCAAAGCCGTTATGCCACTCCTAGGTCTCGGTATAGTCACTCGAGGCACCAACACTCTGCCTGGTAGACACGTACCAGTCAAGTACGCCAAGGCAATTCTGCCGTCGGCCATCGTTGGCTACGCCATCCCCACGATCCTCGCCAGCCTGCCAATTCAAGACCCACAGATCCGACAGGCCGTCGGTTTCGTTGTATCTGCCGCTCCAGTCTTCAGCGCGGCTCTGCTTAACGGCGTTGCCTCGGCCATACAGAAGGTGAAGGATATAACTTCATTCACGAAGGCCACCAAAGACGTGAAGGAAACAGACAAGGACGAGTTTGTTGAAATGTACGACAAGAAGGATGTAGTACCGCTCAAGATGGCATACACATTCGCGGCGGGCGCCTGCGCTACCGTTCATATCGCAAGCGCGGTGTATCCCATCCTGGCGACAACTTCATTCAGCAACTTGGCAGGTGGCCTTAACACGAGCATCGGCTTATTCGGATTCGCTTCTGCTGCTTTGTCCCTTTACTCGGCGTGGAACTTGCGATCAGAGGGTTTTGTTACAACTCAGCAGGCATTGCTTGGCTCTCTGGGGTCCATTGCTAGTGGCTTTGCCGTAGGCCCTGGAGCAGCGCTTGCAGGCTTCTACTACTGGCGTGAAAGCGTTTTAGATGCCTTGGGCAACTAGTCATTGTTACCCGGAATCCAGTTTCAAGCTGGACGACGTTGGGAGGTGTAGATAGTAGAACACAAGCTAGACTATTCCCCATATTTTAGCAACATAGTAGCAGAATCGCGTTGTAGCTTACATCTTTTACTATCATCATACCATCTGATAGCTTACATGTATCAGAAGTCAAAGTTGTTTCCAGCGCCTGCCAATAGGAACTCCAGAGCCGACGGAAGCTGCAGCATATCCATAGTATCGGCATCAGTGAGGCCCATATCGTCTCCTACGAAGCCAGTGCCATAAGGCTGGCCGTCTTGGGACATATTACCAACTACAGCTGCCGCGTACTGCTCCACCGGATCTCTAGCTAAACTATGCCCTGGTGCCGCATCTATATGCTGTGAGCCATAAGCTGGGCCAGAAACTAGAGGCCGCCCTGGAACACCATTTCCCACGGATGCTGACGATCCGATGATGGTGTGATCGTTGTGTCTGAGAATGTCGGTCGGAAGAGAGATCCTGGAAGGATTCTGCTCTCCAAAATTAGCCACTCGATCGCTCGCGCCATCAAATTGGGTGGATTGCTGGTCAAGATCGCAACTCCTTGGTCGTTTCGGCTCGAATAGATTCAGCAGACTTTGCGCGTACAACCACTGGGATTTCATTGCATGCAATGTCCGTATCATGGATTCAGTATGGCGCTTTGACTTGGCTGCGACGATTGGATTGCTAGAGTGCATCTGGCTTGCTGTGTGAACCAAAGCTGTGAAGAGCATGTGAAGGCTTGGAAGCCACAAGCCGGCCAGCATCTCTCTCTTCCGCAAAGACTCAAAGATGGAGGCGATTGTAGCCGCTGCGTCAGAACATATGGTCAGATCGTTGCTTGCTTCTACTGAAGAGGGTCCCGATACTGTCCGAGGAGGCGGCCGATGAAGGAGGATGAGAAAGTTGTTGTATGTGATGTGGAACATTGACTGCCAAATGTCTGGATCCCCTGAGGATAGCTGGAGTCGTTCGGGCAGATTGGTGACCAACTCAGCGAGCGCAATATCAGCTTTCCTTGTCGCCTCAGCCTTTTCTCCTTCTTTGCAACGTAGAGCAACTCGCTTTTTCATAACCTTTGCGAAAATGATGCACAGTTGTGTATGCTGAACTATGAAAGACGCTTCGGCTTCCGGTGTATCTTCTAGATGACACTCTTTGATGAGTGGCACATCGGAATCGTCAAGGCTTCTATGGTAGAAGTAGAGAGTCAGTATGGGGATATTCCAGATTGCGGGGTGGTTGGCCGAGCAATCCACTTACATGGCTTGAGGTCTACCATGAGCCATAGAAACCAAAACGTCATATTGATACAAAGTCCACCATAGCCTCCGCCATAGGCGCTTATCCATGACGTTAAGGCCTGATGGTGTAGCATCCCGATGCATGCCCATACCGTACGCCGTTCGAGCAGCAATGCCGATCCAATACCATGAATTTGAGATGACATCCTCGAGGTCATCGCATTGCCAAGTCAGAAGGATAGCAGCTTGTAGGTACGTTTCACGATGTTGCTCGAAACGACAGTCAAACAAAGCTTTCGCTCGCTTGAAGAAGACCGCCTTTAACGCCTTGAGCTCATCACGCTCGTTGGACAAGATGTGCGCCCCGACGAGTAGGATAGCATTCAGCAAAAGTAAAGATAACGGCCGTTGCCTAGCGAAATCCTCGCTGGTCTCTGTATTGTTGTACTTCTTCATGAAGAACTCTTCATCGACAATGGGAATGCCACGGTTGATGTGCATAAAGTAAGCCTGAACAAGTTTATCAGCCAAGGCCTTGGTGGGCAGTTCCAAGGCTTCGGGCGGCACTGAAGACATCCTCGGGGCAAGAGGGTGACTCCCGAAATGTAGGACATTCTGATCGGGCCGTTGAGACCGCTGCCGAACGAGGTAGTTCAAGTTCGAGAACTCGGTTCCGATGAAGTAAAGTCTACCGCTTGGTAGAATATCTTGATATCCTGTCTCTTCCCGGTCAAGAAAATCAGCCAAATTTCGCGTTGCGACTTCAGTAGCGTAATGGGTCTGAGCATTGAGCTCGTTTCCTGGAGCCGATGCTGGCCGCGAGTCAACGTTGACTGGTACCCACGGACTGGCGGCATTCGATGCTGTTGGCGTGGTTGTGGGTCTAGAGCTCGGTGCTATTGTTGTCTTTGGCTGAATAGAGACATTGGGGCTCCGAGATACCCTTGTCGAGGACCTAGTCTTCTTCTTCTCAAAGATCTGACAGTCGGAAATGTTGTTTGCTTCGCATTTGGAGCATGGCGTGCCCTTTTCGAGGATGTCGCAACGCACTTTCCGTTGGTGACACGTCACGCAGGCCCTGCCATCTAATTATCAGAGACAAGATTGTCGGTCAGAATGCCTCTTGAGAATGAAAAGAGAGTTGGGGGACAGGGGGTGCCATACTGGTTCTCGCTTTCTTCGACGCCTGGCCAGACGCCGATCCTGTCGGAGAAGATGCGCCTCTACGCCCTGCGGCTGACATGACTCAGTATTGGCGGTAAGCCGTCTTCTGGAAACTTATTTTCCGAGCGGGATCTAGATTCAATCACAGCATCTCAGGTGTGATGGCGCGCCTTTGACTGCGCTGACGCAAAACTTGACGGATGTGGAGGCAATGTGGACTGGACTGGATATAAGTCGGAAGTTGTGGTGGATTATTCAGATACCGAGCAACGTGGCCTCGGGAGTTATGTCAGCAGAATTTGCAATCCCGGAAATACGAACCAATCAAATCTCTTTTCTCTTTTCACATGCCCTCAATCTCTTCTAGTGCGGAAACTTGGGCAGCTTCTTGTCGGACACTTTAACCAATTACAACTATGGAAAATGGCTTGTTCTACTTCCGAACGACTTGCGAAACATTGAATGCAGTAGGAAAATGGAACCAAATACGTAAAACAATCTAGCAGGGTCTTCCAGAAGTTTTTTCTTTTGTATGTTCGGGTAGCAATGGGCAAATATGGAGTTGCTTGGACATATAAGAGGAGCTGGGCAGTTCAGTGACAGTCTGAGTGACCAGGACTGCACAGACAAGACCATAACCACTTGGACGAACCTCATTGAGCAGACTTCAGACGCAAAGTACCCTCGAGGACTATAATGGATGCACGTCCGTTCAAATACGCAAACGAAGAAGATGGAGACCGGAAACAAGAATCCACCATGGCACGGGATGTTGAGTTGAGCGGCGACACTTCCGATGCCTCATCTCTGAAGGACACAACGGAGGAATTGCTGAACGCTACGACGTTATCGCCTGTAAGTGGCTCTTGCGTGGAGAAGTTTGGTTTAACGATGTTCTTACTTTCTATTCTAGCTGCGCAAACTGCACATTGTTGTAGCGGGCTTTACCTGCACTTTCAATGGCAACCTCGGGTCATCCATGCCTTCAGGCGCACTTGACGCCATTAGCGAGCAATTCGGAGTTACCGACCGCGTCCATCTGATTCTTCTCAACTCGCTATTTATGTGCGGGTACGTGCTTGGGCCTCTGCTATTTGGGCCCTTGAGCGAGTACATCGGCAGACGACCGGTGCTGATCGGGACATACTGCGGATACATCATCTTCATGCTGGCCTGTTCTGGAGCACCAACCTACCCGGTGCTGTTACTTTTCCGTCTTCTTTGTGGCATCAACGCAGCAGCGCCAACAACGGTCATCGGTGGACTCTACGCCGACATCCTCGATAATCCCGCGGTTCGAGGAAACGCCATGGCACTTTACATGACAGTCACAACTGTCGGCCCACTCATCGGGCCCATTGTTTCGGGCTTCTCTTCTCCGATGTCCTGGCGATGGCCCTTCTGGATCGCCGGCATCCTTGGAGTATGCGGATTGCCTCTCGTTCTTACTCTGCCGGAGACATACGCGCCTGTCCTCCACAACAACGCAGTTAAGAGGCAGCTGAAACGAAACAAGGGTGCGGTTGATGGCAAACAGCAACAGCAACTGCAGTTACAGCCTTTCAACGTACGAAAGATCTTCCTACGGCCCATGAAGCTCCTCTTCACCGAGCCAATCCTCATGGCGACATCTGCGTATCTGACGATGGCATACTCTGTATTTTACCTGTTATTTCAGGCCTATCCAGTCATCTTCAAAGACTTCTACGGCATGTCTCCCGGGATGGCCGGACTTGCGTTCCTACCTGGTAAGACGACGCCCATAATGCTGCAATAGACGATGAAATGAGCTAACATATCTGCGAAGTTGTTCTTGGGGTGTTCTTTGCCCTTGCCATCTTCTACGCATGGACACATTATCACGATAAGCAATTTAAAGCCGGGGTGGAGTGGGCCTTGAAGCCTATTAATCGCAGACTACCTCTTGCATGTATTGCCGCTCCTCAGTATGTTCACCCTCCACGATCTCATACCTTAAACAAATGATAAGGAGCCACAACTAACAATCGCTTACGTAGAATGGTCATCGCTCTGTTCTGGCTTGGCTGGACCGTGTGGCCATCCACATCCCCTGTCTTGCCTATGTTTAGCGGTGTACTTTTTGGCTGTGGATTCAATCTGCTCTTCATGGGCATGATCAACTACCTCACAGACGTTTTCCGGCAATATTCTGCTTCAGCACATGCAGCAGCCAGCATGACGCGCTCAATCGGAGCTATCACCCTGCCTCTGGCGGCAGGCAAGATGTATGGCAACCTTGGAGTTCATTGGGCTCCATCAGTTCTGGGCTTTATTGCCTTAGCCATGGGAGTAATCCCATTCATTTTTATCAGATTCGGCGATAGCCTCGCTCGGAGTAGCAAGACAGCACGAGAGGCGTTTGCCATTGGAAACTGAGATGGATAATTAACGAGCACATGATTATAGAATAGTAATGATTAGACATAGACGATAGACATAATAATACTTATTCAAAAGCCTGAAACCCCCTTTCGAAAACTTCTCTCCCTAGACTCACCTCAGAGAGTACCCAGCTCCGCGATTCCATGTTGGGAGATGCGGTCCCCCACAACATGATGCGTTGCTCCACCTAAGGTATTGTACTGTGGATAAGCCATTTTCCCGAAGCCGTTATTCTCCGAAGAGAGACCATGGAGTGAACCAGACATTTCATTTACTCAAATTTTTTGAGCTTGTGCTGCGATGATGAAGCTGTGGCTCAATAATCCTATACATGTCGTGGCTGTAGACACAAACACTATTGGAAGGGCGTTTCAGAGCACAAACGGCCTACACGAAACACAACATACATCAGGAGCAATCGCACCATCATGGCAATACCTTAGACTACTAATGGACAGAGTAACCGCTACGAGACTCTGCAGTAACGCAGGTCTCTTCTCTCATAGGGTATCAGTAATCTTTAAGAGCGAAGAACAGGAGAGACTCATTAATGTCAAATATCACATGAGTCTGAGGAATCAGAAAATGAAATTGGATGAACCGCTGAACCAAAATCTTTCCATTCTGTTTATCGACGCTGCCGTGCGCCGCATCGGGAGTGGGTGCCGTAACGGTCTGCAGACCCACTGAAACCCGGACTTCGGACTTCTTGGCATTGCCGAGGTGCGAGCTCATACACGGAGGACAGTACGGAAATGGTAAGTAATTCGCCGGATGGGCCACTTAGACCATAGGTCTAAGACTACTTGATGGCTTAATCGTGACTTACGTATAGCATCTTCGTAGTGGTCCGCTGGAAAAACTGAGAATTATCAAGGGTTTGGCGTAGGAGAGTGAGAGTTCACATTAGGCGGTTCTTGCCAGGGAGACGAAGAGATATGTATTGTGCAGCTGAAGAACCTTTGTTCGGCCAATTAGATGAGTTTCTACATGCAAGTTGGCCGAGAAAGAGCTTCCAGTAAGCTCCCGGCCGGACAGATACCCAGAAGAGGCATGCCCATGTAATGCAGGTGTTCAAATAAGAATGTGGCTTGAAGACGGAACCAGGATATACGGAATGATGATTCATAGATATCAACTCTGCTCTAACGAGCTAGAATTAGCGACATACGTATAGGTAGTCTGTCTCTACGCTGACAGGTATCCGTCGCCAATGCGGATATGGGACGAGAGTACTTGCATATTATCGGGAAAGACTAGGGGCATGTTCTGCAAACCCCCATTCTCCACCCGCTAGTGTCGGAAAGGGATGTGCTGCCACGAGGTCTCAGCTTGGCAGACCGTTCCGAACCGTTATTTTCGATCTGCGTGTCAACATGCTCCCTAGGCAGATCGTTCAGGTAGCGATGTGGCTGATATGTAGCAAGCCCCTTGTCGCCAGACAATACCCCTGTGACCATCTCGTCGATGTTAAAGCTCAGGCTTTCCATCCAACACCAAGGTTTCTCATGTACGCCATCAGTACGCAATATTCCTCTCCTGACCTAAGCCTCCAATCCAAAATCGCTTTTAGGCGAGGGCCTCTTGACGAAACAATGAGTGAAGAAAGAGGTGAGACAAAAATATTCAACCGCTCAAGCTTCTAGATTTAGTACTAACACCACCGATAAAGCTACATACGGATATGTCGACCCAAATTTCGTCAATCCTGGTGGGAAATGGGACACGCCAGTTATAATCTACGGCTACACTCCATCCTTCGTCCTTACAGTACTTGCCGATGTCCTCTTCTTCCTCCTTCTCATCGTCCACACATGGCAGATCATCCGCTACCGCAGCTGGTACTTCGTCACCTTCCCAATTGGCCTCCTATTTGAAATCGTCGGCTACGTAGCCCGCTCTCTCTCCGCCAAAGCGAACCCGTATAACCTCATCTACTTCATTCTCAACTACTTCTTCATCGTCACGGCACCAGTCTTTCTCGCAGCCGGCATCTACGCGATTCTATCCGCTCTCATCAACCGTCTTGGGCGACAGTTCACGCCTTTGCCGCCTAAAGTGGTTTTGTGGTTCTTCATCACCTCGGACGCCATCGCAACCATCACGCAGATCTCGGGCGCCGCTTTGATAGGTGTCAAGCAGTCGCGCCGCGAGGACCCTACGACGGCCAACAATATTTTGCTTGGAGGACTTGCCTACCAGGTCTTTTCAATCGGATGTTTCGTCATCACTACGTCCATATTCCTCTTCAGAGCTCGAACAGCGATCAAAGAACATAGGCTTACTACTTTCGTGGCTGTGTTTTCGGGGGCGACGTTGTTGATTTACCTGCGTACCTGCTTCCGTCTTGCCGAAACTGCGGAGGGTCTTGGGGGTTACCTCTACTCGAATGAGGTTTTCTTTGGCGTGCTTGAGTTTGCGCCCGTGGTGTTGGCAGTGGTATTGCTTTCCATCTGGCACCCCGGGAGATGTGTAGCAAAGAAGGTCTCCGGTGGCGTTGATGATGCAGAAAAGGCTAGAGTACGCAGTCGTGAGTCTATTCAGAAATAGGTTCTTTGGCAAGGTCGAAAAGATAGAACGGGTTTCACCGTTTCTCGCCCAAAAGATGAGGGTAGCTGTTATTGATAAAGCTATTAATGCTCTGAATACCTAGTCCTAATCATCTACCCACACCTCAACACGGTGGATATCTTGCTGCCCCAGTCGTTTGAGCATCTACAGTTGCCCATAGCTTCTTCTCAAGCTCAGTTCCCTCCTCCACCGCCGCCTGCCCAAAGATTCCAAAGCCAGGCATGGGCTTCGGCTTCGATTCTAAAAACTTTCGACGAGCATCGAGAACCCAGTCGATGAGCTTCCGCAAATCATAGCTTTGACGAAGCCGTCTCTCCATAGTTCTCCGCGCGCGCGAGAAAGACCTAGATGCGGGCGACTTGTCGGTAGTCGACTCCATTTCTCTGGCCAAGATAACGAATCCCATGGGAACGTCATCCATATCATTGGACTGCGGATGGCGTGCGACAATATTTTCCATCGTCTGAAAAGCAAGCAAGAGGAACTCTTCAAGCCAGACCTTGATTGCGTCACGCCCACCTTGCTCCATGATCTCGGCAAGGCCAAATAAGACGCGCCGATGCTTTCCAAAAGTGACACTGTCCAGCTCGTCGTCGAATGAAAAGCCAGGAAGACCCTGCAAAGCGGCTCGTAACGGGTGCTGAACCTTGTACGCTGTAGGTGATACTCCGAAAAAGGATCCTTCAGAGGTGTCCTCGCCGACGAGAAGTCGATCCAATTCGGAGGAAAGTCTAGAGTCCGCGGTCTTACTTTTCCACCGCCTTGACTTCTGCTTCTCCACCTTCGCGGATGTCTTGACATGTCTGTAGTGTTGCGCTGGGCTTGGCTTTCGGCTGGGCAGTCCGCGCGCACCTCGCCTGATGTCTCGCGTGATATTTTGCTGTGTTGATCCGTCTCGAATCAAGTCGCCGGTCGAAGCACCTTCTATTACACTGACTGGGGCCATGTAAATTGACTCCAGTGCAGCCAGTCCTACGCTAGGATGAGAAGCAACAGGAGGCACAGCAGAATGAACCGGATTTTGGGTATTGCCCATGTCCATTTCGAAGTCTCTCGAATGACCAGTCGAGGCATTCATCTTGAATAATGTTTTAGTGTGGACACTGAATGGCTGACGGTATGAGTCGGTGGGGGTCAATGGTAGATGGGCTTGACTCATGGGCTAGTTTTCGTTTGTCGCATGCAAATTTTCCAGGGTCGTTTAACTCTGCCTGCAAATATGCGGCGAGTTCGACGCAATAACTGGCCGATCTTGGAAGTGAGAGATAGAAAGGAAGGAGGTTTCTCCCAAACCTTAGAGTGCGGTTTGGCGATAGTGCTAGTAAAAAGAAACGACGTTGAAGATGGGCGGGAAAGATGTCACATCGGGGAAAGTCAGAATTAAGCTCGCGGGTAGGGCTGTGGAATTTTGTGGGTCTTCGGGCTTGAAGACTCCACGGAAGAAGTGCGAGCCAGAGAGCCGGAGCTTAAGGAAGTGTTGGAAGAATGAGCAAGAAATGAGCAAAGGCATTCAAATAATGAGAAATTGGGTAGATGTTTGTGCTTTCTCATTTCATTACTCGTTATTTCTACATATTTGACCATAGAATGGACCTGTCATGAGTCAATGGCGGTGGTGCTGAAAGAAAAGCAGACCCATATCGTGCCTAACCCAGTTCAAAAGAAAATCAAGTTTTGTTCAAAGAAGCTAGGCCTGTTGCCTATTGAGAAATGTTTGTTGTGTCTGAGGAACCACAATCAAGTCGGCGTCACTGTCCAGGTAATACCAGCGATCGGCCTTTTCTGGCCTTGGAGCAGCAGGATCGATTCTGCTCTCTGCTGGGATGTTGAATTCGGCGGTTGTTGTCGCTTTATTTATAAAGCTGTTTGCGACGTCTGGCCGAGAGGTCTGGTTGTAATTGATTTCATTGGAGTCGACCTCTCCTCTAATCAATTCCGCCCAAGTCTTGTGGCTTTCCTCGACGACGCTTTGCATGTAGGTGACATTCTGGTACCAGTCCCCGATGATGTTGATGACTGGATCCCCTCGAGCTACTTTATAGTGCTGCGAAGTATTAGTTAGCACGACCTTTCACGGAACATGATAGGGAAAATCACAGTCCACCAGTTTCGGAATATCTTGATGGTCCCAGGGCGATACTTTTCAACATCTTCGAACGCTTTGAACAAGTCAGCTCACACAACTCTGTCTTCATACCTGGCTAATGGTCTTACTATTGATGATGGACGCCATGGGATCTTTGATGTCGATGCCGAGAATCTTCCAATCGGTTTCGTTGCCCTTTGCCAGACCCCCATTAGCACATCTCACATGACGGAACGACAATCCAAGTATCGTAGACTCACATCAGCTAAGGCAAGGCCACCGAGAATCTTGACTTGTTTCACCTGACCGACGTAGCCGCGGCTGGATAAAGAGTTAGTCACTCAATGTTTGGTAGACGCAAGGCCTGATGAAGCCGTAGTCTGCCTATGACTTACTCTTGACCGATGTCGAAGAGATCTACGGGGTCGTTGTCCCCCAACAGGCTGGTAAAAGAGTGATTGTAGTTCGGACTTTCCCAGGTTTGAGGGATAGACCCGTAGATGAAAGGGTACGATTTGTGTGGCCACACATTCTCCACATATCTAGGAGCGCCATTAAGAGAGTCATGAACGATAGGATCTGGAACATAATGGCCATTAGCATAATGTGGTGTTTTCCTGTGAAAGATACCTACTCACTTAGAGGCTCGCTCCTCTTGAGTTCAATTTTGCCGTCTTGCCATCTGGGTACTTCAACCACAAGATTCACCACTTGCTTGTTGCTCTCATCCGGCCAGACTGGCACATCATGCCAAAAGGAAATGGGGTCACCGTCCTTTTCGAGCCAAATCCTCCAGTCCTAAAGTCGAGTGTTCAGCATGTAGGATAAGCTAAATTCGGTTGATGGGGCTGATCACCTCTGTGTTGCGGGCACCAACTTCCCTCAAGCTAAGGGCGTTGTAGTTAAAGCTGTGGGAGCTAGTCCAAGCAGCACTGCTCGAGACCGAAAGCGCCGCAAGGGCGAAGAAACATCTGCTCGACATGATTACTCTCTTTAAATCAAGTCTCTATCGTGAGGTGAGATCATAAATCGTGTGCTCATGAGATAAGGTAGCGCCAAAGAAACACGCCACGCACTTGGAGTATTTTGTATGTCTACTGTGGCAAACCCACACTGCTTCAGTCTATCAAGGTAAGCTGTTCCTTACAGGGAAAGGGGGCTGAAAAACACGTCTATGTTTCTGTGGCGGGGACTGCCAGCAGGGAGGAAGGCTTGGCATAGGTACAGGCGTGAGAAGCTCTGACGTGAGGATTGGACGGGCTTGACGGGAAAAGATTAAATTGGAGATTTTGCATTGCAATCCAGGGATCCGCGCTGTCACTGTTGATGAGTTGGTGCGGAGATGGTTGGTTAGAGCCAAGGATACAGGGTTCATGAGACAGGCCAATGACGTAGAAAATGCAACGCACGTGGGAACGCTGTTGTTGTTCCAGCAGCAGAAAGGGGGATTTTCGTCATCGCGAATGAGAAATCCCATATGCTCAATTTGGCGGCCTTGTAACTGCAATGCATGGAGAGTCCGGCGAAAAATCGCCTATTCTTGCCCTCATCTGTGCTGTGCCGGCATTGATTGCCACACTGACGAGGATAGGAAGGTTACGGATGTACCGGTGGGTCTGCAGTAGGACTGTCTTGATCCCAATGTCCTCGGCCCCTAATCGGCCATGATGAGTTCCTTAGTATGCGTCTCTGATAGAGTTGTCGCCGTTCACTTAACCGTCAGATTGTCACTGACGAAGATTCTTCCCAGCAGATCTTGATTGTGCACGTAACTCGAAGCCTGAGGCTAGCAGTTGACCACGTCTCCCGCAGGTGTCAACGCGATGGACAGAAGAAACCGTCAATGTCACTGAAGAAAGTCGTGACTGATTGAATCACCAAGCAATCTTAGAGTCGAACATCTCAGTAGTGCCACTAGTAAATTTCTGGGCTATCGCTTGAGGTATGCGGCCATCAGGAGGCTACCCGATATCAGGGAGCTGGACCTTCTTTTGAACATCTAACAGCAGGCTATCACTCACTCTGTGGTACAGATTTTGGATAGCGCAGCAGGTCGTCTCAATGCCTTCCGCATGAATGTTTCACACAGAGACCGAGATTGAACACGTTGACAAGGGGTCCAGAGAAGCCTTCAGCATTGGTATCTGCCAAGAAGTCGAATGTGGTATGAAGGAGACTATGTTTATACCTAATTATTTTGAGTTCTCTGGTCGGATCGACTTTCCAATTCAAGCCAACCCACAGAACTCAATCACCTCTGTTTCCGCCGTTGCTTAGCGTGGCACCACGACCCTGAGTGTGGGTACAACTGACTGAGCTTTGTTCCGCTCATAAGGCATGGAAGGCGTTATTCTGGTGCCGGTCAAGACTGGACTATCACAACTTTCGTCAGCATGTAAGACTGGAAGGAACAATCCATTTCGGGGAATCTTGTTCTCCTTCAGTTGCAAGAGCGCAGAGTGGGCAATGGCTACACGCCGCGAATGCCATCAAATGGTGACGTCAAGGCAGCAATGACGTGTTTGGTTTAGCGCACTATTGTCTCGCAAGGCATCACACCGGTATTTGCACATCATCCACGACATCCTCATCTCCAATATGCTTCGCCAATCCGTTTCAACACAGAACATATCAATTTGAATACTTAGGCGAAGTAATTTAACGTTACGAAGGCTCTGCCGTCTTGTGGTCTGGTCCCGCAACCCGCTTTCCCGTCGGCGGTTGCCACACAGTCTTGAACGTCTTAGCAGCATCATTATACCTACAGCATGGAAACACACGATAAGCCAAAAACTAGAGAAACATTCTTTTTCAATGAACGGCACGATCGATCTTTACTTATGCTATTGCTACAAGTCGCCATCAAACCCCTCAGGCCTAGGCTGGCGACCCCATCTAAGCTGCCGCCCAACGCGGAGCGTCTGACGCCACCCAAGAACCCACGGAAATGCCATATAGAAGAGAGAGAATTGGAGGGACTATGGCTGTATGACATCACTCAAAAGTCGAATAGCAGGAGTGACAGAGAACTGAGTCCGCGGCGTCAGCGACGAATTTTGTACTTTGCCGGGGGAGGGTGGCAGATGCCACCGAGCAAGAATCATTGGACTTTCTGCATGGAACTTGTCCGACGGCTCGACAACACAACAGTTACGATCATCTCTGCACCTCTCGCACCGAAACACCCTGTCTCAGTTGCATTCCCTTGCATTCAAAGAGCGTACAGTTCCCTTCTAAGCGAATCACATGACGCCGGCGAAAGTGTGATTGTTGCTGGTGATAGTTCAGGCGGTAACATTGCACTAAGTCTCGTGGCTTGGACTTTGAAGCACCCAAATAAGGAGGTTGCGGACCCACCTGTTGCTGTCATAGCCATCAGCCCTACGGTAGACCTTCGTCATGAACTCCCAGAGATCAGAGTGGTGGAGAAATCCGATTCACTTCACACTTTCGAATCCATCAAAGCCACTGCTGAGGCATGGTGCCCCCCGGAAGCAACTAAAGAGTCGAGCAAAACTTTGCAACGAAAACAAGGGCACAATCATGTCTGCTACGACTGGGGATTGAATGATCCAAGAGTATCTCCCATACACGCCGATCTTGGGGTCTTTCTACAACACAACGTCCGCATATATGGAGTATCTGGGTCATATGACGTGCTAGCACCCGAGGCTATTGCTTTCCGAAATAAGTGCAAGGAGCGTGGAGTCCCTGGAGAGTGGCTGTCATGGGAAAGACAGATGCATTGTTTTCCTCTGATGTTCAAATATGGGCTCAAAGAGGGTAAGGAAGGCATAGACTGGATGATTCATGTTCTCGACAAGCACTGATGAGATATGGGCCTCAACAAGTTACAGCATTGATCAAAGCTGAGTCTCAGGAATCCCAACATGTCATGGGCGACTGACCAACCCTTCCTAAGTATCTACTTCTATAATATTTGGAATGAAGAAGTGCTCTTGATCCGATCTGTTTTTATTTAGGGCACGATTTGCATGATGTCGAGCTACAATCCACTGGTAGTATTCTCTACAAATCTTTCCGTGTACACCTTATCCATCCTTTTCGTGCTGAGTCGCCGTTCCCCTCTTGAGATTCCCTTCTAATGGAATATACGTAACTTTTGCCGCTTCAACCTCGAAGATGACCGTCACTTTTTCTCACGTATGGCCTCGGGTTTCTGAGTGGAAGAAGTGGATTATGATCGACCCAGTCAAGAGAATCATAAGAGATACAATGTAATGCTTCCAATCAATAGGTTCGAGTGCGGTAGGATTGGCTAACATGTTGAAGATTCTCAAGTATGTGGTCATTTGCGCCAGAGCTGTACCTCGAGCACGAAGTTCGGATGGCTAGATCTAGGATACAAGTAATTGTTAGCAGGCCACATACTTCCGTTGTGTTGCGTCTTCAACTTACAAGGCAGTGTCGTAGAACCCGTAGAGGATAACAACACTGGGACCACTGCCACACCGACTGATGGCGACTCAGTATCATCAAAGCTACCAGATAAGTGAGTAATGTCGGCGAAACTGGCAAACGGTCCATCACAACTGGCAAGGAACAGCGGTCGACGCCCGAGTCGGTCAATCGGGAGAGCAGCTGATACTGCTAGCATGAGGTTCCAGATTTGCATGCAACCGTTGATGAGCGTTTGATCTCTAACAGAGGTGATGCCAATTGTATCTAGTACAGCCCCGAGGTAGCAAGACACGATGTTTTGCCCGGCCCACTGTCCAAGTACACCCAGCGACATTAAGATAAAACCTCTGTGTCTGTCTCTCGGCGTGCAGAACAATCCTATCTTTGAAGAACTCTTAGCCACCATCTCATCGTCTTGCTCGTTTGATATCGGTCATCTCGAAGTCCACGAGAACAGAGCTTCGGTCTCCCCCGCCATGAAACTTGGCCAGTATGCTGCGAGACTTTCCAGTCCGGTTTTTGGAGACGAGAGGACAGGGCGATTCCGGGACGAGAATGGCGGCTGGGAGTACGAATAGCGGGATGGCAATCTGTAGCAATGATGGGATGCGCCAAGATCAGCAATTGTCGTGATTTCTGGTTCCGAAGGTCGCCCACGCCGCCAAGCTAGGTCTAACAAACCATCCAATGTTATAATGCCTGTAACACCATATCTCAGCGTTATTTCATTGACTTGCCTGAAGCCTCAAGGTCAGAGCCAGCACCTACGCTCCGAGAATTCCCCGGTGCAATGGGTATGCCAACTCCGTGATAAGACCAGACGCAAGACAACCCCACCAGATGCTCGGCTCGCCGAAGATAATACGACCGATGATGAATTCCGCCTTGTTCGGCGAGAAAGCTTGGAAAAAAGTAATCGATACAAAGAAAACCGTTTCCTACAAAGAGTCCTTTCTTCCGGCCCCAGCGGTTAGCAAAGTAAACCACCACAAGATAAAGTAGGAAAGCATGGACGAAAGCGCCGGGGCGGCGTTGATGGAAACCGAGCCATTACCTCTTGGGGCAGTCCAGCAATGTCTGCCATCGAAGAAGAGTCAAGAGACCGTTCATCATTGATCCATCGCAACCGTTCGCTGCGCAGAGTAAGGCCAGAAAGACGCAATAGAAGTTGAGGTCTATGAGGTGTCGTTGCGTATATCACAGGGTTCCGTCGTCTGGGAGAACAGCGACGAGTAACGGGCTGGTGCCTAGGTTCTTACTGAAGAATCGAAATCTCCCAACCATAATGTCTACAAGTCAGAGTTGAAGAGTAAAGCTTTAAAGCTAAGGTATATGGGGAGAATGCCAACTCAACTGAAGGGCCTGGGAGTGCGAGGAAGCGCAAAGAGAAGAAGACTTCTACGAAGTATTGGCTTCTTTGCGTGAATCGTAGTTCATTCAAGTGCCTTCTCAACTCTGTGAGTGAAACTTTCTTAGAGTAACGAAATACCAAGCGCCTTCCGCGACTTGATTGAGGTTTCTCTCCGGAGATATCTTGAAAAGCTGAAGTCATGTCCGTCGAGTATCGGCATATTGCACCTTAAAGACGGGGTGTTGACCTGATCAGGGGTACTCAGTGTTACATGTCTACCAACATTTCCCGGTAGCCAATAGTCGCGTCTCCCAGGAAAAACATTCTGGCGGGCAGTGTATCCTGAACTCAGAGCATGCGCACTTGTCAGTCTTCGGATGAGAGGCATCCCCGTAGCAGATGGGTGTTGTGGCGCGGGATGCGGGGGGTCTACAAACCTGTGTGGGGATTGATGTTGAAGAATCCCCGTTACATCTACCAATCCTGCGTTCTTCAAGCAGCAAGAATACCCGGGTATAATTATGCCGTTTGGAAGACACATCAAGAGGCTATGCAAAGTGACCGGGGATGAGCTGACTCGGGAAGTTCGGTCGTCACCAAACGTCCACCCCTGTCGTCGATTGGGAATATTGGCATACCTCCTCTACGACGATGTCAGGAGATTTTCGGATCTTGCAGATGCGAGAACGAGACTTTAACAACGGCGGTGTGGGACACTCGTCGCATCTAGCTGCATCCAAGCCTGTCTTTTTGGTATGCTAACCACAGTAAGGCAGTCTCTGGGCCCAGATGATGGTCGAACAATAACGAAATCAATGCCTTGAGATTAGCCTCGTCAAATCATGTCAGCTTGTGTCTTCATGTCTCGATGAGTAAACAGAAGCCGTAAGTATGCTACCAGTTTGTCACAAGAAATCAGCAATGTCACTTGAAATACTTCACAGTGACTTTAGTTAGACGAAGAGCGTGCTCATAACATGATACAGAGCAATTCTAATGGGGTTCTTCACATGTTAGAATTAGGGAAGACAAATACATGTTATTCAAGTGTTGAGTTGGCTCTGCATCAACAAAACGGTATCTTGGCTCAATGGGCTGAATCTTCGTTCTCAGTGACATTTACCCCTGAGATGGTCACAGCGGACCTCTTGAGTCGTCGCTCGAGGTATAGCCCTATTACGACAGCTTCCGTATCACACAGGAAACTGAAAGTATCTGCTAAATGTCGCACTTTCCCCCTGACGAGTCTGGCAAGCTCGAGCAACTAAGATTGAAGACAGGCCGCGAAACATCGCTATTCCTCGTGAGACCAAACTCTATGCCGTTCCTGACCTGATCAGCATTGGAGTCGATCAGAATGTACCAAAAGACATTCAAGCTCGTTTGAAAGAGGTCGCAGCCGACGCTGGTCCAGTAGAAACGAGCGTTCTCAACTGAGGCGACGGCAGCCCCTTGAGATTCGCCGGCTTGGGGAGGCAGTTAGCGTCCGAGACTATGTAAATCTTGAGATGTGATGCTGAGCGGGAGTCTTACCATGCGGCCATCCAGTTTCGGTGACCCACACCTCCTTGTCCTTCCCACAGACACTTGAACTTTGGGCAGCGATTTGCCTTGTTTGATCAAGAGCAGATATGAATAGGTCAGGGGCGTTTTCAATAGTATTGTTTTTGTCGGACTCCCAGTAGGGAAAGGAGTTGTGGCCGAGCCAGTCGGCGGCTTCCACAACGGCGGCATTTTCGGGTAGAATCCATGCAGTGTATGTGTCGACGTGTCCAATGGGTTTGTTTGCCAGGGGAGGTATGCTTTGCTTGATCAAACTTCGAAGGTCCGCAATGTACCCTACAATCACTTTCGCGTCGGCGCCCACGCCAACATATTTACCGGTCAGGCCGCTCGCATGCCGGTACAAATCTTCTGAGCCGACGGAAATGCCGATGACCAGGTTGGTGAAAGCCTCACCATACTGCATGTATGCGGCCGTAAGAGATCTTAGCTCATTGGTGTACATTTGGCTGCCGGCGCTGGCCCAAAGTCCGACCAGAATGTTGGTGTTGGTATCGATGGCAGCCTTGTAAGCCGAAGTGGGTTCAGCCCATGATGAGGTCGGGTCATATGTATTGTTACACTGGATGGAAGTATATAGACGAGCCGAGGTGAAGTTTTTTCCATCCGCGCCGGCAAGTGTCTTCGCGTTCTGGAAGTAGCGTAAGAAATCATCGTAGCCCCTGCATGACCCATCTTCGTTTGTGGCGCCATAGTTGAATCCCAAGAGGCCCGGCTGGTTTCCTGCCAGGGCGGTAGTGGCCAAGGACACGGCAACTGCGGTCATCAGATACATCTTAGATAATCAGTTGGGATGGAGATAGCTGAGGATCATTCGAGAGATGGACGAAATCCGATTCTCTCCTATTCCCCCAGCAAGAGAGTACTAGGCAAGCATCTTAAACATGGTGGCCATCTCGGTTTTCTTTGTTAGCCACGAACAGAGCTGAGTCGAACAGTCTTCTTTGCTTGAAGCCCCACAAACTGCCACACCTTTGAACAGACCCCTTTTCTGTTGTATCTAGGAACACCTTCTTTGCTATCGTTCTCTCAGTCTTCCGTGCGACGAAACCGTCAGGGCTAGTGACCCGAGCTACCTAGGAATTCATGCATCGTCTAGATCATTCCCTGAATATCGGCCAAGTTTCCTTGATCATGTCTCGATTGTAACATGGTTTTTATAAGGTAGTCAGCTGCTCAAACTGTGCAGGTGCTTCATCGAACCTTATGAGTGAATAAACCTTCGACACTGTACGGGTAGAGGAGTGAGAGATCGGGCCGGGTGAACATAAGGAAGGATCATCCGACGCGGGGCTAGCTCAGCGCATCTCGGGAATTGTCGACATCACAGGGCTTTGGAAGCAGCTATCGGAACAGCCAATGATGCATTAGCCGCACATATCATGCAAGGACGATGACCACAGTTAGCGCAGCCCCATACCCGAAGTGAAAAATGTGTGCTCCGAGAGGGTGTGAGAGGGCACATCCAGTCTTTCAGGGGCGCGGCCATCCGAA